AAAAATTGCACCGTGTAACAGGGCCTGTAGTTCTTGAGAATTCCTTTTACATCTCAAACATAATCAATAGCGTAGCAGCCTAACGACTACCGCTATGGTAATATTTTGGTGTTTACTGATTGTAGACACAATAAATTTCTAAAGACATGAATAATTTTAATAACATAATACGTATCTTGCTTTACCTGACCTACGAAAAACACAACGAGATTAGTGTATATGTAATTTATTCAATATTTTTTTGTTCCTGTAGTATTTCAACGTGGGTCCCTACATGTAAACTTGTTGTCCTGGATATATTGCCCATTTTGTGCCCCACCCTTTCGACGGACGGTCCAGGTTCTGCACGAGTGTCCATAGTAGCGTGGCCAGCCTGACGATTTGTCCCGCTATGCTAATATTTTTTTGTTCATTGACTGTGAAAACAATAAATTTCTAAGGAAATAAATAATCGTAATAACTCGAAATTTGCATAGCGGGACAAAATCGTCTTGCTGGCTACGCCACTGAGTGTCCAGAAACAAAGTTCATGGATAAAACGAGTAACATTTGTATTAAAAGTATATTCGTTATCATGCATTTTTATAGGGTGCACGTGGAATTCAAGGAGAAGCGGGAAATCTTGGTGAAGATGTAAGAATACGAATCCTTACATTAGAAATTCGCATCAAGTAGATAATTTCTTACCGCAAACAGTGAACTATATTCGTATTATCCTTTTGCTTATATGGCGGCTCGCAGGGTTATTAAATGATCGCTCGACAAAAAACAATAGGACAATGGCATTGATCCCCAATGCACGCTTTCAAATTGCATATAATCAAATAATTTTAGGCTCTGTTTAAATGAAGCGAGTTATTCCGGCTAGGCGAGGTAAAAATTGCATAAATTATAATGAAAGACTGATCAGGTTAAACCTTTGATGTGATGCGCTTTTTACCTCGCCTAGCCGAGATAACTCGCTCCATGTAAACAGCAGTGGCGTAACTATAGAGCGATATTTGGTGGGGCTGAGGTGAATATTATCCAGTTCAGCTCTACGGATATCCAGTTCAGCTCTACGGATTTCTTTTGTAAGTGCAATAGCTTATAATAGTAATCCGTCTGGCAGGAATGAATATATGAATATTCACCCTCCCCCCCCCGCCACAATCATCGTTCTGGTTACGTCCCTGGTAAAAAGGCTCTCATATTATTTCAGTTGCAACTATTTTTGGCTATATTTTTCTAATATAAATCTTATTATGTTTACTTCGATGTATAACGTTATTTAAAGTTTGGGTGACTATTTTTTTTCGTGTGGCGTTTTATTTAACGATAACGGAAGATCCGATCTTTTAACAACAAATGTATTTGAAAATAAAGAATTTAATTCTTGAAAACCCGGAGATAATTTCATTACAGCTTTCTCATTCTTTAGAGTTTTACAAAAAGCTAACTTGCTCTTAAGTTGTAGATCTTGTGTGCATGAATTGTCTCACAAAACCTGAACAAAAAGTTCATTTCAATGCATTTTTAGGGCGAACCAGGACCTGATGGACTTACACGCGAAGAGGTTAGGCACTTGGTATTCTTTTGCAGAAAGTAAAACATTTAGCTTCTTTATATTTATTTAAATTCACGAAAGAAGAAGACAAAACAAAAGGTAGAACTTGAAAGACCTTTAACTCGTCTCTGCCTTGGACGTAATAGTGGAAGAACCTTATACGAAAAAAGTAGCAGAGTAGAGAATTTCATACAACATTTATTATAACATTTCATAATAATGCTACTGCGTATTTTATAGACAGAGCTAATCACGAGTGCGTTGATTCATTCGTTAAATGACTACCAAGTTAAAGAAAATGGATACTACAATGATATCTATCACGTGACATCACGTGATTTGACTGATGGCAGATCAGACACGGGTGGTTGGGGAAGTGAAACGGCAAGGACTGGAAACTATCTTCAAGCTACTTATGTTCGTCCGGTGTTTGTCACATCTGTCACAGTTGCAGGAGGCTTTATACCATCTTGGCATCATAACGTCAGACACGGATATGGAAATTTAAAGCTGGAGTACTCTACCGACGGAAGAAACTGGGCAACGGTAATAATGCGGATTGCATTTTTACGAGTATTTACAGGGAGTAGATTATAGCCCAGCCGCATTGACTGTGCCTCGCGATAACTGATAAGTTAACCAGAAGAAACCAAATAAAATTTTGCTGAAAGGAAAATCAAACTGAATAGCACTCGATCTAAAAAGGCTGTTGATTATTATAGGAAATTTTTCTCACTTGGCACAAGGCATTAAACCATGCGCCAATGCCACACTCCTTCATACAGTTTTTACCTTGTCCACAGCCCTGGTTAAGTCCTGTTTAGACTATACCGGATTCGCATGGTCACGGCATAATTTTAAGTTGTTTTATGGTATGTCTGTCCCGAGAGGGGGGGTGGTTGCACTCGCTTTCACTTGGTAATTTTGATGTCGCTACGTACCATTCGAATCCAGAATAATGGAAACTGCATGAATATCTAATGCCTGGTGGCAGAATAAGCAGCAGAAGTTCTCATAGATGATAAAAAATTACTTGGTCAAATGATATATACACACCACGCTAAACGGAATTATTGTCTGATGAAAAATTTGACATGAATACATCACATTTACGACATGAAATACTATTAATAGAACAAACAACTTATTTCAATATTTCTGAATCTCTTTCTGGCGTTAGCTGACATATTGCAACGAGTAAATGTAGCAGTATATGCATTATTAGATATTTAGAAACGCTGTCAGGGTAGGTGCCTTTAAAGTAAAAAGCAGCGTAGCCTGCTGCCTGCCTGATGATTTGTCCCGCTATGCTAATATTTTGGTGTTCTTTGACAGTGAAACATTCAATTTCTTAAGATATGAATATAATTATATATAATACTCGAAATTGATTTTACATATCAGCACAAAATTGTGAGCTTGGCTACGCCACTGAAAGTGCAAGGGGCAAGTATATGACCGCATTTCAAAACCTTTCTCCTTGCTCTTTAGCGTGCCATTTTCCCTTCACCGGCGATGAAGAGATTAGTGACGGTGAATTTTGATCCTACAGTAGCTCAATATTGGCGCCTGATATCAGCAGAAAATAAATGGGTTGGAACAACTGAGTTTGCATTGAAACCTTTGTTGAAGGCATGAACTTTGGGATTGCGTTTCAATCATTATTTTTTCAATTATTTTTTCATCTAAAAAATTTAGTAATTTTTAGAAAATATCAAGTATCGTAAAACAAAGAATACTCTAATTATATATCCTCATATACGCTTAACTTTCTCTCCTTTTTCCATTTAGAAGCATACGTTAGCAATGGCAATGACCTAATTCTTGTTCGCAGTAATAACAAATTAATAACGGCAAAAAAACTCGTATAATTCTAATTCAGTTTACAGAGAATAAATGAAAGACATATAAAAATACTAATCGACACGTGGGCGACTAAATTTCGAATTGTCACTTTCAGTTGATTTGTTCTCTGCCTTTGCAAAATGTTTTCATAGGAATATATCTTGCTCTTGGGGATTTCAGATTCCATAATTAAAAGTTTAATTTGTCGTTTATTTATACATCAACACATTGCACTGATTTCAGCTGACTGCGTAATTAAGTTTTCAAATATCGGAAGTCAACAAATGCATTGGGAGAAAATATGGCAAGTTTTCTTAATATGCAGGTTTGAATAATGAGTAATAGTGAATGGAACCTTGTCTTCCAGTTAAAAAAAATTCCACTTCATCCTTAAATAGATGATTTTCCATTTTAAGGTCTTGATTAAATTGATTCCTTCAGGTATAGTTTGTGTAATTACTATAAATAATATACATAATTGGAAAAGGATCTGTACAATTGTACAAATTGTTATACATAGTCTAAGATAATTTATGCTAATTTATACAATTAGGGTCTCGAACACGAACGAGCATGCTTTATATTTGTTTTATGTGTTATCCCAGTTGAGCGTTAGATATACCATGTACAAGTCAGTGAATGAGACTTAACACAAATGAATGACTACAGCGTTATTTCCCACTTATGCATTAAAATACCACATGCTTCTGTTCGTATCCAGGTAAAGTGCAAATTGACAATTTGTTTGCTTGATACATGATGGAACTTTGATTACTTGAGCTAATGTCTATAATCTGTATATAAAAAACAAATAAATTATGCGATTCGGTTTTTTATTATTTTCGGATTAATTTTGGAAAGAAAGTATTTACATTTTATACTTAATAAAAGTTCAATCTAAATTTAAATTCGCTGCCCATTAATATTTTTTATTTACTTTATTTTAATTGCCAAAATCAGTTCAATTTTTATAAATATAATAAATTTGAATCATAATGAGCACATATACTAACAGTTGCATTCCACTTTGTTTCTTCTGTCTAAAAGTAAAAATTTACAACGCTAAATGATGTGGTTAAGTTCGTTTTCTTTTATTGCTTTTTCACTTTGCGAAGTGCAATGGTACGTATGTTACTGAACAAAACTTTGCATGATTCTACTGTGAATTTTTTATAATATACTGTGAATAATATATCTTTGGGTTGACTAAGGTCCATTAAGGGCAGTGACTTTGCTTGATGGTGACAAAAATCTCTGAAACTGACTGAGTGCATGTACTTTTGGTCAATAAAGTAATAAAAGTTTCGTCTTACTAAAGCAAACAGCGAGCTTTGCTGTGTGATCTTGTTTAAAAAATCGGGCAAAACTGGTAACTCTACACATAACTTACTTTATGAAGGGTGAATGAATGGGACAAATTTTTCCTAGTCGACTAATCTTTACCCCTAAAATCCTAAATTGAAAACAATAATTGCAGCGATGTGGTGATAATGTAAACAGTGAAATAGGGAGTGTTGACCGATTAAGGAGTATGTTGACCGGAATAAAGTAAATACTAACAAAACAAGGGTGGAGTATTTTTGAGACGAGGCCGGTAAATGTATTTCAAGGGTATTTGAGTCCGAGTTCCTGTATGCGATAACTCCACACCAGTCCATCCCTCTACTTGGAAAAACTCGTCCTGGGAGCCTCCTAAGGAGAATTAAACCATTTATCTAGGATAAAAAGATATCGAAATCAGAAATGATTCTGATTGGTCATCACAAATGATTCTGATTGGTCGTTCACGTACGCCGGTGGCATGTTGTAATGCAATTCACACGGTTTGGATTATTCCCGTTCTCGGAGCCTTTATTTCATCGCCGGAAGAAATCGCGGACTTAATTGGGAAACGAGTTTGACCGAGATTGACCCACGAAGGTGATACATTCTCTAATTTATTTGATTTGATATGCTTAGTTTGATATCTATTTAGAAAACCTGCTTTGATATGCCAATCTCATGATAAATTCAAATATTTATTAAGATATCCATGCACGCAGAATATTTTCACGAAACAAGTAGATATAAAATTGTAATTTGAAAGGATCAAGAAAAACAATTAAGAAAAATAAATTGAAAAGTTTACAAAAAATTTTGCTGTTTGTGTTATAATTTCTTAAAGGCAACTTGGACTTATTGTCTAATCAAAGGTTTCAAAGAAAATTCAGTTGTTCCGGCCCATTTGTTTTCAGTTGATCTGAGACGCCAATACTTCGCAGTGACTGGCTGAGGCAAGTCGTAAAAGATCATCTCAGCATTTTGCACAGGTGCAGGAACAGTTCGTGCCTAGGAAAAGGAAGGAACGTATATTATTTTGTGTATTAATTAGTTAAAAAAATAGAATCAGCCTTTCTCATATTTTCTAGCTTTTTTCTGTCTGCCATTAGCGCCGTATTTAAGCCAAAAAAAAATTACTTTTGCGACTGTTACTAAGCTTTCCAATTTAGGCAGAATATGTCTCGCCGGTTGTGTATTTACAAGTTCCGAAATAATGCAAGGGAATATAGTAGCTTCGTGTACATTATATTCCTCTTTCATGAATGGTCCGAACAGTATTCCTAATTCAACTAAAGAGGCCCTTTCTTTTCTCTTCAAACAAAGTAAAACCACTACCTTTAACCAACTTTTGCCATCGAAAGAATATTCCAAGTCCAGGTCCGCGTATTCTGGCTTCACATCATGACCCCAAGATGATATGAAACCTCCAGCTACTGTTAATGACGTGACGTAAACAGGGCGAATATAAGTTGCTCGAATATAGTTCCCAGCATTTTCTGACTCGCTGCCCCAACCACCGGTGTCTGATCTTCCGTCAGTTAGAACACGTGATGTAACGTGATAGCGATTGTTGTAATAACCACTCTGGGACACGAAGTAGTCATTAAGTGTGTATATCTCCATTTCCTGTTCCATCTGAAACCAAATAATATTTCCGTAATTATACGGAATATACTCATAGTTTATATATATTCATGTCTGGCAACAAACACCTCTGGATATGAAGACATAAGCGTACGCCTCTCCTCCCCCCCTGAATAGTTAGGCTAAGGCCATTTTTGGAAAGCGAATATTTGAATCTATTCTCGGCCAAAGGAAATGGGCTACCCTGGGTGTGGATTAGCTTTGTAATTGGCTTTAGTTTATTTGCTCCCGGTGAACTCTAAAAAGACTGGAACGATAACTTGGCCACCATCTTTGATGGCCGCCATGAAGGCCAAAAGCAGAAATTACACTACCAAAACAACGTAAGTTTTCAGTACACACGAGCCCATCACATCTGAGCATGAATGAAAGCTTAAAACAAGCAATATGTTACTCATTGTTTTTTTTTGTTTTTTTTTGGTAGGTAAGCTAACGAAAGAAATAGAAGTACGCCTATATGTGTGAAGTTGTTTTGAAGACAATGCCACGCTGCCTCTTAGTTATATTGGAATGTATTTGCATTAGTCAGTACTTGACGATACAAAAACATCGATAGGGAAATACAGAATCTACGTTCTACCTTCCTGATAATCAATTTACCTTAGCGCCGGCCTTTCCTTTACTTCCTTTTTGACCCTCAAAAATAAATAACGATGTTAACCAAAGGAGAAATTTTGTTTCAGTATGTTACCCTTTAAAAAACGTTAACCTTCTTTACCTTTTGACCTGCTTCTCCCTTTGCTCCTCTGTCCCCCTTTTATGATTTGGGTTGAAAACAATATATTCAGTAACATTCACACATAATATTCCATGATGTTATACAAAAATTACCGTATAATTAAATCTGCACTGGAATAGAGAAAATTTCTGAGTAAAACTGGCATGCATGGCGCAAAACAAAACATTGAATAGACCTTTGAGGTGCTTACGTCATGTCGTTCTCGAACAATGAATCGCAATGCAATCTGGGAAACAAGTGGGACAAAATTGTATACATAGAAAACTGTGTGACGTAAGCACTTCAGAAGGCTATTTTCAGTACATTTAAAATGAAATATGAAAAACAATGTTTTGTAAGATGTGCATGTGTAAAAATCAATCAATAAATTTGATCGTTTACGTATAATTATATTGCTAAATATGCAAGAAAATTAGGATAATGTGTGGTTTAAGGGTACGGTAACCGTTTATGACTTGTCCATTGCATTCCGTTTTTTCCGTATGTTTTTTGTATTATAATAGTTGTTCTACCTGAAGTCCAAGTGGACCAGAGAAACCAATGGAACCCTATAATGTGATTAGAAGACATATTACTCGGTGATGTAAATGATACCGCAATATTATTCTTCTTGAAAAAGAATTATCCAATACCGTAATGGTTACTAGATGATTGTTAATATGAAACGATTTTTTGACCTCACTCGCATGTTTACTAAGCTTACCTTTTCACCAGTCAAACCGTCCTTACCGTTAACACCTGGCACTCCCTGGAAATTAAGAGGAAAAAATAGGAAACTTTTCTTTCGCTATTTAGTCAAGTTTTTTAATTGAAAAACCAATTTGCTTTTCGCCCTAACAGAAATTTTATCCTCTACTTTTAATGTAAAAAATGTAAATGTAGGTAAAGCTAATAGTCTATATATATGATGGTTGTCCAATACTGTTGCACGCACACGGGTCGTTCGTTTCGTAAATTTTTTATACGGATGGTAAAGTGGTTTAGGCATTTCTATTCGTTAGAAGTAAGCAACCATTCGTACTATTGGTATGGAATAGACTCTTAGTTTACGTTCCAAAAAATTAATAGACTATGTCGATTCGTAAACGCATTTTGTCGACTAGAACACGAGGCATGGAAACTAGCGTGTGTCTAAGGCGTAAGCAGCTGTATCCCCAAACAGACTGCATCCATTAATTTTGTAAATAGGGCAAGTTGTGTCTATAGGATAAGTCGATGAAGAGATTGTCGTTCCGTAACATTGGTATCGAATGGACTGTTCGTTTACGATCCGTAAACAGACTGTGTCGATTCGTAAATAGGGAAGACACCACCCTAAACTCTCATCAGGGGGATCATTCTCATGAATCATTTAATGCGCATTCCGCGTCCAGTCATTACAATATTAAGCAAAAACTGTTTAACAAAACAAACCGGTTCACCAGGATCTCCTTTCATTCCCTGAAAAAAAAACTGCATACATGAAGGTATTCACAAGGAAAATTTAGTTAGAATCGCGATCGTTTAAAATGACTTTTAAAAATCATGTATGAAACCTTTCGAGGGTCATTACGAACCATTCCTGGCAAATTTGAGTGCTATTGGCACATGCTTTGTTTACAAATCTGACGTTCGTTCACCTATCATAATTTGAAACTTTTTAATTCCAACTAAACTTTGAACCAATCATTTTTTAGCATAGGATTTTGCAAATAGAGCTTTTACAAACAGCTTTTTATTCATTTTATTGAACGTTAATCATATAAGTTATAAGCAATTTTTCTTAATTTTCGAGAGAAACTTCGGTATGCATACACAGTGGGAATCGCATTGGTAGATTTTAATGTAAAAATATCCTTTTTAAATCTAGAACCAATAGTGTTTTTTTAAGGTGTTTTGAACTTAAAATTAAGCTGTGTAATTTATTCTGCACACCCCTAGATCCGCCACTGTATATACAGGGTATCTCTCAAAAATATATCCCCTATTGAAATGAAGGTTTTGTTGGAATTTGAATACATTATTATAGCTAACGCACGTGTGTGTAAATAGTGTACATTTTAGATTCGCATTAGTTACATTGTGGCATTCAATTTAAGCCTTTCATTGGTTTATATATTTTTTATTCACATTTTTTAACAGAATAATAGAAGTATTTAGGAGAATGAAAGGAGTATTTAGGAGGTAATAGCTGTGTATTCAGGAGAATAATAGGTATATTATCAGGAGAATAATAGGAGTATTTAGGAGAGCAATAGGAGTATTTAGGAGGTAATAGGAGTATCTAGGAAGTAATAAGTATTAAGGAGAATAATAGGAGTATTTAAGAGAATAATAGGAAAATTTAGGAGTACAATAATAGTATTTAGGATTATTAAATATTTTGAATTTTAATTATCCTACCTGCATACCATTGTATCCCGGTGTACCTCTTCCTCCAGGAGGTCCGCGGGGACCCTGAAATAAATGCATTGCTTGTATCTACAGGGTGTCCCAAAAAACCGAAAACTATTGAAATCACTCATTGTTAAAATTTGAATGCCGTGTTCACGAATTTCAGCCCGTGGGGATTTAATGCAACTTATAAAATGCTTTGTGTTGCTAGAGAAAGGGGGCATGTCGAAGGTCATGGTTTTTGAGATGCACATTTGAATATTGTTATCTATATTTGTAAATTGTAAATATTGTTAATAAATATCATTTTTGCGAACAAGCAAATTTGACTGCATCATATGCATGCATAAAAATGCTTATGGCAACCCCGATTTATACACTTGTGGGCCCAACAGAGTGCTTAGGCATTCAAACTCTAACAATGGCATTGTTATGGGTGATTTCAATAGTTTTAGGACACCCTGTATAGTTATTGCATTGTGACTTATCGCAATTAATCGCGCCACAAAACAATACCTAATTAAATAAAAAGGGTGGTTGGATAAGCAATATCGCATTGCAGCGTATTTATTATTCTGCCAAACACCAGAAACACCACCTATTGAATAAAAAGCCCCAAATTTTCATCAGTAAGACGGTTTTGATAACATTGACATGCAGGAGCTGGATCGATGTCCCAGCTGAACAAACACCGCCAGAATAATTACTAGTTTGGGCGAGCTGAGGAAAAACCTAGCTCGCCATTTTTAAAAATCAAACGCCTTAATTAAATATTTTCTCAGGCTGAGTGGCTGTCGCTGAATAAAAACCACGACAAAACTTGCCATGATTTTAAAATTTCTCTTTGGTATTCATCACGTAATACGCCGGAGTCGCTCGACAAATCGGAGACCAGAGTCTAGAAGTTTCACCAATCATCTTGGCAGCTTGATGGTTGCAAAATTTACCTTCCCTCGATTGCTTATGTACCCGGTTATGTCACAAGTATTAAATTCCTTTCTATTTCCTATCGTGAACCCCAAAATTGTTTATTTCCTCTTTCGCGTACCTTAAAGAATACCATTCCAGCATAGCCTTTTGGGCCTTGCTCACCCTAAGTGAATATGGTAAAGTCATACATATAAATCAAAGAAAATGCACCTCGTAACTTAACGAGTCGCCTTGAAAGACAAAGCTTATTTCACGTACCTTTGCTCCTGGCACACCAGGTTCACCATCGTGTCCATACAATAGTTTAAGTGTCTGTTAGAAACAAGAATGTGGCTTAAAAACAACATTTATATTCTTTAAAATCTCATATTTTATTAGTGAACATGCACAATTCAACGAGAAAGAACGAGTAGCCTCTTCAGTTTAACCGAGCGACTCAGTTGTCTGCACTCGTTTAAACTCGCGTGGCTATACTAGATGAGACCTTAAATATGAATTTTCAACAAGCATTAGACGAATGTGATCATTTTATTCCGTTCCAAGCCGATTAGCATAAACAATTCACTGACAAGGAACCGAAATAAGACTTCAAATCCAGACGATTTGTCTACGGAAAAGTTAAACAATTGTACGTGTTGTTTTGAAAACACTTAAACCGTATGAATGTATATAGGGATGAATCCCCAAAGAAAACACAGCATAATTATGGCATGGCTATTCAATTTATTTGTAAAAGGTCGAGCCAAACAAAAATTGCATGATTAAACATGTGAATAATTATACAGGGTATCCCAAAAAAACTGAAAACTATTGAAATCACTCATTGTTAAAATTTGAATGCCGTGTTCACGAATTTCAGCCCGTGGGGATTTAATGAAACTTATAAAATGCTAAATGCTTTGTGTTGCTAGAGAAAGGGGAATATGTCGAAGGTCGTGGTCCTTGAGATGCACATTTAAATATTGTTATCCATATTTGTAAATTGTAAATATTGTTAATAAATATCATTTTTGCGAACAAGCAAATTTTACTGCATCATATGCATGCATAAAAATGCGTATAGTAAACATTTATACACCTGTGGGTCCCAACAGAGTGCTTAGGCATTCAAACTCTAACAATTGCATTGTTATGGGTGATTTCAATAGTTTTAATAGAAACCCTAATTAAACATCAAATGTGTAATGGTTGAACGTCATTTCGAAATTATTTTGACTCTCCAAAAATTAAGATCTTTATAATTATGTATTTATAAATGTGTACAAGCACACATTATAAATGTGTTTGGCACAAATGTGTTTTGTTTTATATTAACATAACACTTATTAACATAACTGTATAGTCGTTCGTTCTCGTTGAATTGTGCATGTTCACTATTAAGAAACTGAAATTTAACAATATTATTATAATAAAAATTTTCAGTGAGATATCCATATATTGTGACCGCTTTCCAGATGAGAACTTTTAAAACTTTCGTTCGCACAATAAAATCTGAGATTAGATTACTCCGGGGAGAACTAGATTTTTAGGAGGATTATCTGTAGTTTTTTCTGCACGACAAAGCCAATAAAATTTATATGCATAAAATTCCTGCTTTAGCAAAATTAATTTCAAATTTCATGTTTTTGTTTGTACATGCATAACATTTCAATATCTTTCATATTTATCTAACGACTGCATCAGCCTTGTACCCAGGGTTTATTTTTCCGTGCTCAGACTCTGGCGTCACCCACAGCATTTCTGTCAGTTATGGTTTCATATTCCATTTGCGTGAAAATTAACTTGTTTTTTGGGGAAGCGATTTTGATCAACAAAACTGTTTTGGGGAAGCAATTAAAGCAATTACGATCAACAATACTGTTTTGCATGTTGAAGCAATTAAAGCAATAATTACGATCAAAAACACTGTTTTACTTGGGGAAGCGATTAAGGTAACTAAGATCAACAATACTGTTTTGCATAGGGAAGCAATTAAAGCAATTACGATCAACAATACTGTTTTACTTTGGGAAGCAATTAAAGCAATTATGCGACAATATTACTGTTTTGGGAAGCGATTTCCACCAGGAACACTGCCTTTTGGAAAAGCGGCTTCGACCAGAGTTAGGTTACAGGTATTTGAATTTCATTTAAACGCGCTTAAAATGATAGTTTCAATACTACAGCGAAGGAACTCTAGTGTTCTTTTTGGTATACCGGTAATTATAAATACGAAAGCCATTTTACAGGCTCCTTAAATAATCGTTACGCTAATTTCAAAATTTAAAACAATTAATATGTGCGCAATGCACACGTAATGGTAGTATGCAAAATTCAACTTAAATTTGAATGACTTTGTGAACACATAGAACTGGTCAAATTTGAATCTGTTTTCAACCTATGACCACATAAACCAGACAAAATTAACTAGTGATATTGACATTAGCATGACAACTGACCAGAAACTATGAGGTGAAATGAAAATATTAACAATTGATTTGTTAGCATATATATTACATGCAATAAATGATTTAGCTCAGGAAAATTTCTGAAGGTAAGATTTCTTACTCCATTCCTTGAGCCCCCAAAATAATAACCCCGATACCACTTTAATTTTTGACTGTCAGCCGTTCGCTTATTTTCAAAAATGTTTGAGAAAAAATGCATAAAAACAGCAAATTGGAACTTCATACGCAGGTTTAACACAATCGAGCTTTGATAAAGTGGCGCTATATACTTAAAGAAGTGCACATATTATTTATACTCACATCAGCTCTTTGTGCACAAATCGTTTTCTGATCAGTCGTGTTGACACTGTTTCGTGACGCAGCAACGTCGTTGGTTATCGACATTAACAGAAGAAGCAACACAATTTCATTCATAATTATCTCAGTCTAGAACACAACAGTATCGTCGAGATGGGCTAAAATTGCTAAGTGAGGCGTTTAGGTTAAATATATTGTAGGTGCAAGAAGACCCTGGTGACCCAGTGTCCGGTGATGACAGCGTGAACGCATTCAAAAATTAGACAGAAATTAAGACAGGAAGTTTTTTGGGTAAATTATAATCGTCTACTGTAATTGATCATGGTGATTGATTAATGTTAGTAATATGACCGCGGTCGTGGATTCATAGTTAAAGCGAGGTACATAAATATTTGATGGTTCATCGATCACCTATCTCTATCGATCCACGCTGCTTTTCAAAACTCATAAGCGCGTATAAGTATTGTATACGATGCAAAGGTTATACATGCGGTGCTAGAAAAAATTCAGTGCGCGATCGGTATACTTTTGCCAAATTGTTTATATTGCTTCCTCGAGCCTCGATCCTCGTTAACGATTGAGAAAGTGCAATCCAGTTCTCAACGACAGAAAAGCTTCCCCTTTTTTCAGGCTTTTGTTGATAACTCGCCTAATAAGATTTATTACCCCCTGTTGTACTTTAATTGATATCATGCAACACCCGTATCCGGAAAAATGGTTTTTAACAGACTTACCTATCGCCAACAGATACTAGCTGGAGTGCAAAACAAAAGGGTTTAAACGAATTTATGCTGAATACATAGTAATAATGTTTCCGTCCGCCATGAAGCTTGCAGTACAGTTTCTTTTGTTCGCAATAGCATTTAAAGAACATGTATCAGAAAATGTATCAAAAGACAGCGTGGTCTGTGTTAATGAGGATGAGGTTTGTGTAAATAAACAGCTATTGTATAGTATAACACAAGACGCAACTGAAGACGGTTTTGAAATGACGCTTACTTACTGTGCTAGATTAGGTAGGTTTGCGAAATAACCGGGTTAAATTTAAATACAGCAGATATGTTTTGTAGGACACAAAATGGGTTTTAATTGATTTTAATCTTAAGTAGATTCAGATGACCCCCGATTCTAATCACGAAATGAAGTTTTGTATAAGACTTGAAGCCAGATTGTGCATTCGGATTAAAAATCGCATATTTTACATGTAACAGCTGCGACGGCATTCTCTGAAAAAAATCTTTGTCATTATATATTATTATTAATCCAGAAAAATGCAATTAATACGTGCAGTTAAACTTTGTTTTATTTATGAATGCAGATGTTAAACGCTTTAAAAGGAAGAGATGGTCCAGCGGGGCCGCCTGGATTGAAGGTATGTTGACTAATTTATTACCAAAGTGTATCACCCGGATCGGAGGTGATATTGTCTAATTCTGTATCAGCGATGCCAGCGAACGAGTCCGATGACTAGTCGCACCATCTCGGTATCCGAACGCGTAATCGTATTGCGGTGATGCACCAGTCAGTGGAAAGCCCCGCACCCCCCTACCCGGGGAACAGCGGGGCATTAGACCAAGGCCTTGTTCTATTTCACTCTAATGCCCCGCTATACGGGCCATTCTTACTCTTCTAAACATGAATAATGCCCCCGCCCTACGGGGCCCGACGTGGCGACGTCCAATTCTTAATAAGAATATCAATTATCTAGACCTGTTCGATAAATACCACAATGCAATGGTAGACATCTAACTGGATTCTTTTCAGGTTAAATTGGTTTTGTTCATTGTTCCAAGCTTTAGTTTTTTCAGTAAAATTTAATTAAATAAAATGAAGTTAAGGCTATTAAATGTGTGAATAATATGCATTGTCATAATCTATGCATGTCTATTGTCTATATATACTTGCACATATCTAATGGAACTGTCCATTAAGCAACTGCCACTTAAAATGGCATGTGGCAACCTCATTTTCTAGGTAATCAGAACTGGCAACAATTTATACTATACAGTACGATTTCCAGTACGAGACTGTACACGGCTTGTGAATTGTGGAAAAAATATTTAGTTACTTAATTAACTGAAGAAACAGACTTGCACAACTAGTGGTAAACCCCCAGGGTAACCAGCTTCTATATTTAAAAGCTCTGACTGGTGGTGAGAAAAAACTTTCACAATCACTGAATCACAGTCAGGGACTTGTTATAAATTAAACAGATATTTAAAACAAATTAAAGACGAACAGAGAAAACCCAGATGGCTGATTGGCTTCTGCATTGAATATAAATATTATAAAACTTGAAAAAATGGAACATCAAAACGGTTTACAATCACTTGTCTTTGGAAGAAACAAAACGCTAACCTAACATATGAATGTTTGTCATTTTTCATTTAACCCTTTATTTGAAAACGAACTGACAACAATCTTGTGTTATTAGGTTAGCGTTTTGTTTCCTCCAAAGTAATTATCTGTTCCAAGTAATATCTATGAATACAGTATCCGAGACAGTATCTATAATACGACTATTTAAAACGGTTTACGGAAAATCTATCTGATCACAGTCATTGCAAAACCAATTGCCTGCAGGAGCTTCAGACAATCCTACGCAATCAAAATGGAACCACACTATCTTGCAGGCTGGGTTGTCACATGCAACCATCTCACCATACTCCTCTTTTGCACACCAGCAGTAGACATCTTTTCTGGGCTCATTTATAACAGACGATTTTTCTTTTTGTGCCTTCTCTACAAAATAACCAAAGGTAATTTTCAAGTGCCGCAATTACATACTGTATTAACTTAAGAAAACAAAACATATGGAGAATAAGAGTGCTAATTTGATATGCAGTAAAAGTACAATCTACCTTTTGAACGCAGCTGCCTGGTTGCTTTTGCTTTTTTCACCCCCTCAGCTCTCCTTTCCTCAATTCCTTTTAGATGCTGCAGCCAAAAGGAGATGTCACATTCGGGTAGAAGCGTTTGTTTTGCCAGATCTTTGATATGTGTCGCTGAGAGGGTCGTTTTCTGTTTCCTAGATAAATCAAACGCTTTCTTGATAACCTCTGAAGGAGGGTTAAGCATGCAATCTTTATAGCCATTCTTTTGAATATGTTCAAGAGATTCAGCAGGAGCCATGAAGTGTCCATGACAACCGGATGTACACTTTGCACAATTACCTCCCCAGGGACGGGCAGGATCTGGAATAGGTAAGGGTATATCGACCAAGGATGGTCCGTCTTCAAACCACTTCATTTCTTCTTGAGGTTTTCCACGTTGACATACTGGATGAACACAGTCACTCTTGTAGCAAGGTAACAGAAAGAAAATGTATTTCTCTGGTAGGTTTTCACCATATGCTGTTTCCGTAAGTCCCAAATCTTCTTAAAGTAATTGTATTCATCTGGTTTCTTTGCTTGTAACTCTGCTTGCAATTTTTTGCTGCCTTTGAGGAATGTCAACAAATCTTGGCGTCGATCTTGCAGTTGGTTGGCATGTTCATCTTTCGCTCCCTTAAAAAGGGTGATGGGACTTTTCCCACAAGGTGCTCCGTTCACACGATCAATGTAGACATTAATAGCCATATCCAAGTTCGTCAACAATCGTTCAGTATCAAGTCCTGTAGAAGAATTGTTCGAACCTGTCAATGTGGACGGTATGAACAAGTTGCTGTGAGCGAGAGCAAGACATCCGTTTTGCATCTCAACTCGATTGAGGTAAGAGCCTCCACTGTGTCGCGTAGTTACTAATGTCGCAACCTTTTCTTCTGTTAAATGCCTCTCAGTCCATAGAAATTGTACTTCGTGATGTTTGGGCCCCTCATCTCCAGCACCATCAACTCTGATACAATCTATAGCTTTGTTATTCAACCAAGGAGCTAGTTCATCTTTACTCTGCAACATAGCTAAGTCCGCAGCATGTTGAGCAGGGTTTTTACAATGAACCGGTTGTGCCTTTACTACCCCTACACATCTTTCACTTGTTGTAGCAGTGCCCAGGAACATTGCTGAGGTGGTTTGAATAACGGATGCATATTTATTAACATAATCTGTGCGCGTAGTTGTTTCGGGCTGGTGAGTAAGTGATGTAGCCTTGTGTAATTTGTGTGTAAACGTTGTATCGAGCCTGAATCCTGCTTGGTCGTCCCGATTGAGTACAACCTTGTCCCGACCATCTTTAAGTTGTATGTAGTCTAATCCTTTATACAAAGCCGTGCTGTGATGTGCATCAGGGTTAAGTTTGATAGCAAAACCCTTTCTTGCTCTTCGCGAAGTAACCCGAGCAACCCCATGATATCTACTCGCTGATAACTTACGTTTGTTTCGCACTGTACAAAGTTGGACTACATCCCATAGCCTATTTTTGTATCGTACTTCTCACAGAGATGTTTTTGGATTCGTCCATAGGTTACTTTAGGCCCTTTTCTCTGATTTCCATCAAAAGTAAAGACACCGGTACGTCGCCATTGGTCTGCCCCTACTCTCCTTTCCTCAACAAAATCTTCAATGTCTTTCCCAATATTTGGGAATTTGCAAAGTGTCTTGCACACCTTTCTTGGTACTTTTCTTTTCAGGATATGTCCGTTTGCGATCTCCTTAGCAATTTGCCTTCTCTTTTTTCTCTGAAATATTTTTCGCTGCCTTATTACAAGTTCCTTTCCTTTCTCACTGAGGACATTCTTTACACCAACCCAGTCATCAGGATTATCACTTTCTGAACTTGTTTCCACTCCTTCATTCTCCCGATCAAGAGTGCTATTTTCCTGTTGTATAGCCAAAAATGCTTGTCTGGATTGCTCAACTTTTTTCATATCCTCATCTGTTAGACCAGTGTTCCCCAGTTGTTGACCAAAGTCAAGTAGAATTTGGCGCAAAACATCAGGACTATAACTGAAGGACATCATTTCTAACTCTCCAACAAACAGAAACCAGTTCAAATTGTTCTTTTGTAGAATACAGACTAGTGTTTCAATTGATGGTAAATCCATTATCTTGTCAATATGGCATTCTGTTTTAATTGAGGTATCGTAATCGGCCATTACACTACACTGCCCTTTGTAAGTTGATACCTCTTCAAGATTTGAGTCACTTTCATCGCTAGACCAATCTACATACACATCTTGTTCAATGACATCATATTCAGAATCCTCTGAATCTTCCTCTTGTACATAGATGCCCAAAGCCTCCAGAGTAGCTTTCTCTTCTGCTTGTGCCAGTTCATTCACTGCATTCCGAATTTCTTCTGTTTGAGACAAAGCTGCTTCCACTTCTTCTTTAAGCTTGCTTAAATTGTGAACTCTGTATTGCTCTTTTGCTTTCTTTCCTGATAGACCTTTTGATTGGCAGGCAGCAACTTTGATAAGTTTTCTGTCCTTTTCAGTTGATGCCAGTGAACAAAGGGCCCGAAGCTGATCCTTGGAGAGGCCATTCGTAATACTGTTCAATGGAATAACTTTACCAAACCACTTGACGAAGACAGAGTAGTCCACAGATGGGTTATTTTCTGTGATAAACAGTCGCTGTGAACCTGGCCCACTTAGTTGTAAAGTAAACACCACTACAGGCATTTGCATCATTCTTCGAATAGCTTTGTTACTAATGTACTTCGACTGCTTGAAATTTTTGCGGAATACCTGTTGCAGTTCTACAACTCCATAGTTTAAAATGTCCTTGGCACAGTCCACGAGTTTGCTGCATTCATTGCAGTCCTTGCTATGATTTGCTTTACAATAAACTAATCGAAAATATGTGAACTCAACAAGTGAAACGCCATTTAGTAAAGACTTGTAGAAACCATCAGACACCTTATATACATCCTTGTTACTCAAGTATCTTTTGTTGTAGGTAGAGTACCTTTCATAGGCTTCTGTGCCTATAAGAGGTACTCCGTTTTCTCTAAAAAAGGAGTCGTCCTGGGTATTTTCAGAAGGAATATTTTCTTGCTTTTTTTCGGGCTGAACCTCTTGTTGATTTTCTTGTTGACCACTTGCTGGTTCTTCAAATCTGTCATCAACATTGTCTGGATTCTGCTCTGATTCGGTTTCCTCCACGACAATACTTTTCCTCTTTGTAACAGGCTGAACCTCTTGTTGTTTTTCTTGTTGACCACTTGATGTTGCTTCAACTCTGCCGTCATCATTGTCTGGACTCTGCTCTGATTCGGTTTCCTCCACGACAATACTTTTCCTCTTTGCAACAATACATAATTCATCGTTGTCAGGATGGTCAGGTGCTCTTCTTTTCAACATGACATCAATTTGCTTGCTAGATTTACCAGAATATCCATCTGTACTGCACTTTTGGCTTGTCTTCCGCTTGTAGGCTACCGATTTTGACTCTTTTCGTTGTAAGTTTGCCAATTCATTCTGCAGTTTCCGTTTCTTTATTCGCAGCTCAGATATCTGCTCTGTCAAGGTTATCGCCTGAGCATACTGCTTAACATTTGTCTGCTTAATTCGCTGTTTCTCACACAAATCTAACTGGAGATCAACCTCTTTAAGATCTTCATTTAACTCGTTTATTCTCTTGGTTCTTATTTCCTGAGATATTTTCTTAGGGGGTTTATCCTGCAGGTCTTGCCCAGCATTGGAAATCAACTTCGATCTCGACTTCTTTTTCTTGTAATTGTAGCCGTCGGAATCCAATTTGGCGATTGCGATCTTGAACATCTCTGATTTCTTGTAAACAAGACTGGGATCCTCTTTAGCCAGCTCAAAGCAAGCTTCATTAATAGCTTTGTGATAACTTAATAGCTTATCTTCCGGATTTAAGGAATAGATAGCGCTCCGCTTTCGTAGCTCATCACCATCTAATTCTACGGTCACAGTCGAACTTTGGCATTGCTCATCGTTCAGCTAGAAACAGTGTACACTTACTAAGTTCATTATCAAACATTCGTTACTGGTAAATGTTTTAAAATATACAGTATGTTAGAAATAGAAAACGGGTCGCGTGTGTTTATGGTGTGTTAATGCACGTGAGAGGAATGTCAGGAGAATACCAAGAAGCATGTAAAACACGAGGTGTAACCGAGCACTATAAATGCACGAGATGAGTTTTTCTGTTTCTTTTATGATATTAATACAGTAGAAGATATTACGTGGCAAGTAATATGTAATAAAGTACTATGTACTCCGTGACCTCACGTGTGCACGCTTTTACTGTTGTTTCAATGTTTGAGTGGGCAAAAGCAATACAAAATTATGATGTAAAAGTAATTGAGAAAACTGTTTAAAATCCAGGAAATAAATTAACTGTTTAAAAAGGAGGATTTGCCATAATTTTTGAAATTATTGTATTTTTTGTCTTTCGTTAAAAATGTATCTAGCAATTTTTATCAGAAGCATTGAAGGTACTTTCTAAATCACATTGGTTCAGTTTTTTTTTCCTTTTACTATGTTTTTGGTCAACCTGCAGGTATCTTTTCAAGTTTTCTTCTTGGCTATTTTGCACACTTTTCCCCAAAATCTGTTGAGACAACACCAAATTAGACAAATGCCAAGCCAGTTAATTTTGCACATTGAACTACAGAACAATTGCTTTGTTCCTTTGGACTTTCTGATAAATTTTGTATTTTAAGTACTCTATAGTTTTGTCTATATTTTGGTAAAAAAGGAAAAGATAAAACAGGAAAAAACACAGAAGGAACAAAACAGTACCACAGACTATAATAGTGCATTATCACATCACAATGCATGTATGTTTGCCAAAAAATTGCATGTTATATCCCACTTATATTATAGACTACTGGTAAAGACTACTGCAAGCACAGTACAACACTTACAGTTATTCGAGGTCCAACTTCAATTCTTCCCCTGTTCAGAACTAAAGTGGTTTGCTTTGATTTCAGTCCATTAGCTATCATTGAACTTTGATCTACAAGCAATAACGTAAAGAAACAATTCTAAGAATGTTGGTACATAATAAGAATGTATAATTATTGTAATGACTGCAGTATCAAGCTTAGAGAATAGAGAGAAATACAAGGAAAACTGGAAAAAACCTGTTACATACTTTGGACAACATTATTTGTAGTCTTTTCTTCCTCCTGCAAAAGTATATTAAAAAGTTAAAATTTCTTGGATAGTTGGATAACATAAACTGGGTCAGTTTTATATACACTGCAGTAGCCATATACATAAGATGTCTAGATTGCTGAATAATTTTTAGCAGACACATGGCTGGGATGATACATTAAGTATGATAATTATGTCAGATGAACAAGGCAATATTCTGTATACATAGGAAATCTACAGGGTAATCAATGTTTTGCATTTGTTGAATTTGCATCCTCCCAATCTTCAAATCATGAACTTGATATTAAACTGTATTGACAAGAACTAGGTACAGTAATGTAAAGGTCTTAGATGCAAACTGGACAATTTGGGATGAGTTACTGGAGGAAAATTTAGGTTGCCACCGTAATGATCACCTTTTGTTCATGGAAATCTTAGTTCTTTAAACTTTTTTGCTTCTAATTTTATGCAATATGTAGCTTAGTAATCTTAAAATTCTCTTAAATATTTATAATTTTATATATTTATTATTTTATAATTTTATTATACAAGGAAATCTACTTGCAGTTTTTTGAACTTATTCCAAAACTAGTAGCCTATGTACAGACAGCTAGAACCCGACAAAATGCACGACATAATTATGCCAGTGGATGGCTACCTTAGATTTAAATTAAATTTGCTATTATAGCAAATTGTATAAATAAAAATATGTATACACAAGTGTAAATATTTATTATATATCACAATATTTGAGTTTCAAATATTAATACCTTTTCTTTTGATGAAACATTTATAGTCTCTGTAACCAGGTAGATCTTGTCTTTACTCTTAACTTCGTCCAAATTTTCTACATCAATATTTTCGTTCCATGTTTGGTCAAACCGTTGGATATAAAAGTTTTGAGATGTATCCTCAATTTTAAAAATCCTTTTGGCTTCGTCAATAACGTCCGTTAACACTTGTGAAGGCTGTATGGTGTAAGATTTTTTGTGTTGTTTGTACTGAAGTAAAATCTGAAAAATATATTAATTTAAATTCCCATATATAATATATGTACATGTATTTATTTATAGAATACTATGAATATTCATTATGACAAATAGCTGTGGAAAATATCTGGTACAACTTAAATAATACTCATATTTTGACTGTTATTTCTTCCAGATTTATTTTTATAATAAGACGTATTAGGATGGTTTGGAAAAACTACATAAATAAAACGATTTAAAAATAATTACTCACCTTTCTTTCCAGCTCCATGTCGTCCATATTTGCTTTCAAATCTCGGCTGACTCGGCACATTATTCGACACTAGAACCCATTCTTCCAGCGAAAACGAATCCCCGATATAAGCCCCGCCATAGTCCCCGGTACAGATACACATATCTAATACGGTCTAAATCCCCGTATACCGTGGCCGAAAATATGGTCCAATCGCTCAAAAATTCCCCGCTATTCCCCGGCATTCCCCGGGTAGGGGGGTGCGGGGCTTTCCCAATATCGCGTATCGCGGGGCTTTCGATTAAATCGAAACTTGTTTTTTCGATGGTCAGTGGGCCATCGTCGCTTATATTGCTTTGAAGGAGGAAATCAGCATTTCGCATTTGTGTTACATTTTATAGGGTAATCGAGGTGAGCCTGGTGATCATGTTATCCCAACTCAAGTAAGTCGTTTTAAGAGTTTAGCTGCATGATTTTAGCTGATTATATAATTAGGGCTGATTTCAAAGAACATTGTACCCATGAGATATTTTAGGCATCTTCTGTCATATTGCAGCCGCTATGCGGGTAATTTGAATTTCAAAGGGATCAGTTTTTTTTACTCACCCTTTATAGCTTGTTGTTCATACATTATGTCTAAGGACGACTTTAAATATTTTTAGGGTAATGAAGGGTGGCCGGGTGTAGATGGCGAACCAGGGCGTAAAGGAAGAAAGGTGAGTAATTTAACCAAAGTGTCTAACCAAAATACAGTTGGGATGAAAATTTACCTTAGGTTTAAAAAAATTAACTTATGAATATGAATCATAAATCCCTAGGGTATATGTGCAGAACAAACATATTGCATGTACGGCTACGTCACAGTATGATATAGTTGCATGTCCTCCAAAATAATGCATTCATGCTCCTTTCTGTAGTCTAAAAAATGATATGTCCGACAAAGCAATCTATATGAAGAAAGAATTTTGTTTGCAAAAGCATCAATACATCATATCTCACCTGTAGTGTTCTTTATTGGTCTTTGTCTCTATGTATGTGCTGAAAGAAAGCGAGAGTCGAAATTTTACATTCATATTTCGAGGACGATTTTACTCCGGACTCGAAACTTATACTGGCAACAATGATAAATGCTGAACACAGGTTCATATTCATTTTTAACCTGATTTTTTGATAAACTTGATTTCAGGGGAACCGTGGAGAACCTGGAATGACTGTGAGTTATATGATTTCAGTAGTTTGCACTGTATTTCCAGAAAATTTTCGGAAACTTTATAAGAAACGCTTATAATTAATTTTTATAACGTTTTCAGTATAGCTATATAGACTCTGAATAAAATTTGATTATCTTGCATTTATATTACACAAAAGGTTATCGCATAGTTAACAACAAATAATATACACTTAATGTATGCTCCCGAGGGAAATAGTGAGTTTTGTTTTCCCAAGAGTTTGAATGGTGAGTTTTGTTTTCCGAAGAGTCTGAATGTTTTCCCGAGACGAAATCGAGGGAAACATTGCGACTCGATGGAAAACCAAAACTCAATATTTCCTGAGGTGGTGTACATTAAGTGTTTTGTTATATTGGAACAAAAACATACATGTCACACTACAATTTCATTTAAAAAAACACTTTCTTATGACAATATGCGGGAAACCATTTTTCATGTGACTCGAATGAACCAATCACATTTAAATTACAGAGCACCTATATAAGTAGTAGTTCGTGTTTCGATATATATCGCATTGCAGGGAGCTCCAGGCCTTGATGGCGTCAACAACAAAAAGCGAGGTATGAAGGTAATATGTTTTTAAAAGTTGATAATCAATAAACATTGAAAATATCGGATTGCCTGTTGCACGAAGCATCAATATTGTGAAAAGCTGAGCTAATCGTAACTTTTTATATGATGTTATGTATTTGAAATATAGAAACTATAACTCAAAATAGACATGTGTCTGCATTATCAGTTTCCTTCTAAAGTTTACATCCAAGTGCCAGTGCAACGTGCAAGCCCTCCAAAATCATGCGTGCGGTCAACCACGTGACCAAACGTCACAATCAACGACAACCCAAATCATGATAATAATTAATTTCTACAAATATTTCAACCGTGTTCGTGAACAAATATGGCCATTTTATTCGTGACATAGCGAGTAACCAGCTCGTATTTCGATTAAACACACTCTGGAATAGATCCACTAATCCATTAATCAGAATGAAAACAAAATAATACTCTACAAGCTATAATTTGAATGGTATATATGCGCATTTATATTACCGTGGTGAAGTCCCCTAATTAATACAACTATTGCATGCAGGCATATTCATTTTTTTCCATTCCATTGCAATGCACTGAAAGCCTTTTTAGGTTTACAAAATTTAATTTTGCGTGTTCTCCTATGATGAATAGTAATAATGATATATTATACAGGGTGAGCAAGGAGTCAGCGGAGAAATGGGAGAGCAGGTAAACATCGTTGAACTTCAAATTTTCAATGTCATTGTAATATTTTGGCGACACTTTTGTAATGAACAAGGTGTAGCCCGGACCCTTTTTGAGCCTGGGGTAATTACCCCTTCAGTAACCGCGACCTCTCGACACAAATATAACTAAAGTAAACTGTGATTACATCATCTGTCCAGTACAAAAGATGCAATATCTGAGCTATAGGTGGCTTAAAGTGTATCCACATTGTTTTTATATTGTTTTGCATTGTATAATTGTTTATTATAGTCTAAATTACGGTGCAGGCGCGTGTACTTAGTTCTCCAGTCATTTTTCTTCTGAGAAAATTACAATATCAGTTACAAGTAACCGGCTCTTCTTTATTTAGGGTGATCCTGGATATGTAGGAACCAACGGCCAGAGGGTAAATTCACAGAATAGACATTATACCAAAGTCTCACTCTTTGCATTTGGCGTCCGAAATTTTTAGAGCATTGCGTAGAAAGACGCATGCACTTCTGAAAAATTTCGGACACGAAAACATTGGCTGGATGCAAAGAGTAAAACGTTTGGTATAGTGTCTATTGTGTGGTAAAATATAGTTTTGAAAATTGCATAATGAGTATTAAAGAAATTTTGACGAGTTTGAAAGTCGATACGACACACAAATGCACGTTGGAGGATGTAATCCATTTCAATATCATACGGCGATGTGAATAGCATGGGTTCATTGTTTACCATATATAGTATTTCACACATTGATCAGAATGTTTTTTTAAAATTAAATTCAAAAATTACCAATTGCCTTCTAGAATCCACATAACCTGCATGCTCACAAATAGAACACTTAGCAATTTTTAGGCCCGTGATTTTTGCTAAGATTTTCGATACAATTTTCCTCTTTTGCTAAATGTGAACGTGTAATTAGTTTTGATGTATAATAATCGCAACTAATTCACTCGTTCACATCGATCAACAGAAGAAAACCGCCTTTAATCGAAACGAGATTATGGATATGTGATATGGAGGTAACGTTATATGAATGTAATGCGAATTGTTAGGACATCATACAAGTACAAGTGGAATCATTAGTACTTAAACTTAAACTTAAGATTAAACTTTCATTAGTCTCGCCTCATTGCTGCATATGATACCACATACAAGCATAAGCATTCTGCATTTTCTTCTGTTCAATCACCGACTATTCATGTGATTTAGTTGATATTTATGTTTGCAATATTGCTTTTCATATTTGTAGGGTGAGCGTGGATCACCTGGAGAAACAGGTCCCAAGGTGAAATTTTTTGAAAGCGAAGCATTCATTCTACTATGCAAAACTTGAAAGACCTTTCTTTACGAACTTTTTTATTTAGCTCGTAAAATTACTTTAAAATTTAGTAGTGAAGTAGAGAAGTTGTTTAAATTCTATTTTTTTCTTCATGCATTTACTCTCGAAATTCAAAATCACAACCAGTATATAACATGTTCATCATCGACTTTCAAGATAAGACTTGCGTATAACCTTATCACTATTGTTATGTATGCATGCAGCATGCTGTCTTATGAATATCCTCAATGTATTGCCCATAACTATTTTTCATAGTCAATGAATTTAAACAGGCGAAAAAGCTAAAATCGGCAAAATTTTGACGATTGGCCTAAAATGAGACCACGCTCTTTAACACCAATTTAGGATTGCACATGTTTGCAAAGTAATGTCTTTGAGTTGGCACATATAGATCATAGCTATAAGATGAATACAGTTTTAATATCTGACATTCTACATTCTTCCCACTCCAATATAGATAAAAGAAGAGGTCTTGAAGTCTTTATTGAATGACTACTATGTTTTGGAAAACGCTTACTTTGACGATCTCTATCATGTAACATCACGTGATTTGACTGATGGTAGATCAGATACTGGCGGTTGGGGAAGCGAGACAGCGAAGACTGGGAACTATATTCAAGCAAACTATTTCCATCCTGTCTACGCCACCTCGGTCACGTTAGCCGGAGGATTTGTACCGTCTTGGGGTCATGAAATCAGAGAAGATTATGGTTATATGGATTTGGAATATTTTTCGGATAAACGAAAATGGGAAAAGGTAAATGAGTTGTTCTAAGGGATATAGCCATCGATTGCTCACTATATGCATTGCACTGATTAATTATCAAATAATTATAATGTCTGTTATTATGCATTTTGTGTGTATTGTTGTTCTTCATTGGTCAGAAAGCACCGGTTAATTCTCATATCTCAATATTTTGTATTTATATATTGTATATTTACGTAATAATTTAGACCTCGGTCAATGTTATTCGGCTCAGCTTCACTTGGACAGAAAACATTGACTTTGGCCTGAATAATTCTTGACCTAATAATTGTTTATTTTTCAAAGTATATTAGAAATGAGTATCAAGTGATTAATTTGGAGAGAACAAATTAATAATGGGGAGTTTGGAACGCGTCAGATCACAGATTTTCATCAGCCTCGTTCCCAGGCGCTTTTAATAAAATAAATATAGGAACACTACAGGCTTTACACAGATAAATTAGGCTGGATTTTCGTGCTTTTTCCCAACATTTTGCATTTCAAGACGCAACGAACGCTTCTTAGCCTCGTTAGAGCTGCTCCCAAACAGAGACTCGGCAGTTTTTAACATCTTATACCACATTAAATTCCCTGGAGTAACAAATAATTATACAAAACTCTTCATCCAAGCATTCATTAACTCGAGAGAGTGAAGCCGCGTTGTTGTCCTGGGGTCTGTTGAGCCTGTTCAGCCCGTTGACTTAAACAGTGGATAAGTCAAAATAAACATCTCTGTTCTTTTCAGAGTGACTGCATGAGCTTGATTATTATATGAACTGAAAATGTAGACCAGTTGTATATAAACAGAATTTTTGTATTAAGGGTTTAAGGTTAAAAACATGTTGTTCGATTGTTAAATATAACAATAGACTCGCATTCTATTCAGTTGAACTAATAACCACCGTTATATAAACGGGCAAAACGGCCCCTGTATGTATACTGAATTGACGATTGGATTGCTAGTACATTAGAATGCATGCCTTGTAATTTAGTCCAGAAAAAAGGGAAGAAATTTTCTCTCAAATGGCTCAACCCACCGTAAAAAATTGTTATTAGATAGGTACTAAAAACATCCTCCTTTTTTGGATATCCTGCTTTGTTGACGCCAATGATAAATTCGAATCACGAATATTAGGTGGCATACACTGATGGATAAGTGTTTATCTAATTAATTTATATCATTGTCATAAATGAATTTTCATTGTTGGGTTTTTGATACGCACGTACACGCGCACGCAAAATTCCAAATCCTTATGATATGCCATATTTGAAAAATCTAGGTTTAGAAATCAAAACAACTTAGTTGTCGATATATCTTAGTATGGATTTGTCGACGCGTTTTTTAAATAATACTATTTTGTTAAATGATAACATTTGGAAGCATTTAAATTCTTCCGCACGTAACAATTAAGGTGCGACAATAGAAAGCTGTTTGCAAGTGAAGTGAAGCCAAGTGGAAAACAGCCCTTGGCTAAATAGCCTAAAATATATACACGATCTCCTTAATCACGCTGCATTTCAATGACATTAAGGTAGAATACTAGAACTCTAGAAGATATAGATGGAATAAAATGCTAATGCTTTTTAACAACAAATTGTTTGCTATACATATACATGACACCCTCCATCTCCCTTGCTCGTTGAAACTATTTTTCTTCGATGGAACATCTTTGTGCTCAAAGAACATTATTATTCTCAATACTTCTCAATATTTTAGTCTATATTTTATTTATCAATGTCATTATTATTTTAGCATTGAGCGAAAGTACAGTAGAAGAGGTGTTCCGTAAGCTGAGCTATGAGAATTAACGAATCGGAAGTAAAAATAGGAACACAGTGAAATGTGCGTCAAACTGATTATAACAAATTGATATAACCTGATCGAGTAAAAGGATTAGTTTCTCGAAGACAAACCTGCTTGTGAAATAGGAAGAAATTTACCTCTATTTAATTAATTAATCAGCTATAATATCCTGTGTCTGCTCGCCCTCGATTGACTTCTCAGCCCACTTAGTTTTAACTTTAAATTTAATACTATATCAAACTTTAACTCTCGACACTCGATCCTTTTTTCTCGATCCTCTTTCCTCGATCCTCTTTCCTCGACTAATTAATTTTCAAGCAGATAAAAAACAGGAAAAGGTGGCAAAATTTTTTGAGATATTGTAAATTTATTGAGATATTGTGGTCTACAGTTAGTAGATGTGTCGATCGCATTTTAGTCGCGTCGAATGCAATTCAAACAAGGGACAATAAACGACAAATTTAGAACCACACACGACTTCGCCCGATAGATATAGTGCTCACGCGTTGAAAATGAAAATATCACCGGTTCTGCGTGTTCACACGAGAAAATCGCACGAATTTGAGCACGCGGTACAAAATTCGTCCGGTCCCGTGGGAACGCAGTCCTGAACTAGGTTTCAGTATTATTATCTGGATGAACAAATAAAACCAGGGAAGGTCACGCTGCTGAGTGCTGAAATATCTCGGGAAACAACGAGGTGAAATTCCCGTTGACCCTGCATTGTGTGAAATTAATTACATCAGGAGCGTCGATGTTGATCTGCAGAAGCTGTCAACAGGGTCATTGGCATTTCCATATCGCAGACTATAATGATTTGCAAATGTCTTCCCATGCATGGATGTATACTTGTAATTTAAACTGATTCATTGAACATTAAACCCAAACAAGCAACAAGATCAATCAGTGTGCATTTGAAATAATTTCACTCGCAAGATGATTGTATTTCTTATCTTTCTCTCAAGCGTCTTTATGTCAGACGGGCAAGAAGTGAGAAAATTGGAAGGAGTCAACAAGTCGGTTGTGTGCATAAAAAGCAGCAAGGTATGCTTAATACATGCACAGATATAGAGAGAGCGGCAGTATTATATATATAGTTCCCTGTGAGGTGCCTTTTAACTGCGAAAAGGATAAACGCTTGAAAAACTATTAGAAAAACAAAATTTATTTTAAAGTACTTATCTTAAAGTTATCTTATAATTATAATGTATTGAAAAGATGTCCGAAAATAACAAATTGGAATTATTCAAGCCCAGTGGAAGCTCCAGGTTTAGGCACAATAACTACACGGCTTGTTTCAAATTCACTGAAATACGCTAATAGCAACGCTATTGGTTTTAAACTTTTAAAAAAAACTTTTAAAAAAACCCAACCAATGTCATACCAAGTTAGCTAGAGCTGCAGTAATTACCTCGGGTTGATACGAAACAACACTAGCATTCCGGTATATAACTCTTACCACTGCTATACCAAAAACCTTTATTAGGGGGGGGGGGAGTATTCATATATTCATCTCATGTTTGGCTGATTTCATCTATTATAGTGATTGCTTTTACGCTTATTAGAGCAAGCATATATGAATACCCAGTAACATAGCCAGCTTTTGTTTTACATGTCTTGTGATCTTGACGTGCATGCATCTTGATTTCAGCGATTTTTGTTTGTCAGGATGATTTTTTGAGCACACACGTACCATCGTACTGCGGTTTTATCCAATGCGAATGCATAATTATATACTGCTTTATATTCGCACTTACTTATGTGCGATCCCAACTCGCGAGAGAATTCACATTGGCAAAGTTTTGTGACACGCGATATTTCCACTCCTGAAGGTGACTGCACGGGAGGAGATAAAGGCACTACGTGTAATCAATCACCGCATTTCACTTACAATTTGCAATTCCAGTTTGAAATTTTTTTATTGAAATTTATTGGAGAGACAAACGATAAATAACACACCTCTATTTTCAGGTCAAAAATTCCGTCTTACCTTTCAGAAGGAGAAAAAAATTAAACCCCATCAACCTTTTTTCTCTAGGCTTTTGGACTTACCATAGTACAGGGAGAGCACGGGAATCCTGGCTCGCGTGGACCGCAGGTTATTATTATTTAAGAATCTACTTTTTGTTTGTTTGCGTCGTTAGGCTTTTGAATCATGTCTTATCCAGGAATCCCTGGGGCAATGGAACACAGTGCCCTCATTTTCAGTCTCGAATAATTGTATATAATTATCATTTATATAATCATTATCTTTAAATGATGGATTAGACGTGTATAATTATATGAATTATGTTAATTTCACTCCACCTTAAATTTAATTTTTAGGGTGACCAGGGTGAAAGAGGATATCCTGGATATACTTCTTCCAATTTTTATACGTATGTCATTAACCACATGATAAAGGCGGACTAGAATGCGCAGGCAAAAATATTGAAAATGCATGGCATCGATTCCAATATAGGTTATTTTAAGGTAACGAGGGGAATAAACGCATATCCCCGAGGTGCTTCAAAATAACCTACTTATTTTTGACAATGATTGCATTGCCGAGGTTGCATTTATAGTATAATAATAGAATGGAAATGCTTTTTATATATTCTTTTATATTATATTCTTATATGCTTTTTAGAATTTCTTAGTAATTATTTTCCCCGACAAGAACAAAGAAAACCGAGCAATGTGAAAAATAATACATATCATATACTTTTTAGTATAATTTCATAATTGAAAAATCACCAGTAACTATAAGGCAATAGTTGCTGCTCTGATGTCTCTCAGCAGTAACTATGGGGCCTGGCTTTTCAAAAAAAAATTTACTGAAATCTCTGCGTGTGAGAATCATTCGTGTGAGAATCATTCTGAACACTCGAAATAAATTCCATGTCTCCGCGCTCATCCATGCATGCATGTGGTGTTCTCTATTAATATGCCTTATTTTAAATATGATCATATAAGCCCAGTGTTATTTCAAATGTGTATATTAGCGCATAATATTATCTGATACGATCTGAATATAACAAGACGCCTGCTTAGTTTATTTTAATTTAATTTACGAAATTAACCTACAACACCACTTGAGTATCGTTACTGACATGCTCTTGAATGGAACCGCCTAGGAATTTCAAGGTCCACGAGGATCTGATGGGGCTTCAGGACGTGATGGAGAAATGGTAGGTATTACACGAAAATTGTCTTCCCTAATTGTCTCAGCATTTTGTTCAGTTTCCGAGAAGAACTAAAAGAATGGACAATTTGCATATGGCACTAACTCTCTGTCTTCACCATCCATTTTCAAGCGTTATCATTTAGAGAATCAAATTCCTAAGCTAGAATCTGGTAATAATTGGTCTAACAAATTAAAAAATATTTATACTTTAGGGTGAAAAAGGACAACGTGGTCACAAGGTATGTTGTATAGAATGTTTAAAATTGCTAATAATAGATTTAATATACTCTATAATAAATCAAATTTTCTCTCATTTATCATATTCTCTTTGGAGGCGGTGGAACATAATAATAATATTATACAGCGAACTTACGATAACCTAATCTACAACGCGTATCTGACGTGTAAGGAACCCTGTTTGAATTAGTTTTATATACAGCTCTGACCTTGTTTACCAAAGGAGAATAGAATTTCTATTCCTTTTTCTGAAACTGCATGTGGAAATGAAGGCAGTATTACTCCACGTCTACGAAGATCAATTGCGTTAACTTATTGATCATTGACATTTTCGGAACAACAACAGCAATAAATCAAACGACATTTTGCGTGAAGAAATTCTAATTTACACAAAGTTCTCTCATCTGCGTTCTAATATATGTATACATAAATTACAAACAAAATATAGCTATAAAGGCACAGATGAGAAGACGTTGCTCACTTCAAAACGTTCAATTTCAAAAACAAATTCTGATAGCAGCTGCTGAACGGAATGTGCATGCACTGCCTAACAGCATGGGGCAGACTTATGCATGCAGACCTACTTGAAAGAGAACACATCTAGGGATAAAACATACTGCACATATATTGCTGTTGTGTGAACAGACAAATATGATAGAATGCGAATTCTAATATTTACTTTGTACACCTTTACGTTAATGAATATTTCTCTATGCTAAATGTCGTTTGATTTATTGCTATTGTTGTTGCGAAAATGTTAATGATCAATAAGTTAACGCAATTTTGTTCTATTGATTTTCACTTTACGGAATATATAATTAGGCGTTGTTGTTGAACTTCCGCACTAATAGAATTAATGTTAAATCAGCGCTATTTTAGTTTATTTAGCGCTATTGAAATACCAATCATTTTAATGTTCTTCTCTTTTCTCTAAATGACATGCAAATGCTTTAAAAAGCAAATTCGGAATAAACTGCGGGACATTTTGCAAAATTCAAAATATGAATAAAAAATATAGTATAAAAAATATGAGTCAAAAGATGACTTTCAAATAAAGTCGAAATTTTACAGTCTCAACCTGCGTGTTGTTTCATTCATATAATTATTTTGGCTCTCAAGATGTCCTGTTTATTCGGAATTTGCCAGTTTTTGAACAAACACAAGGTAGCCAAATACATTGCTTGTGAAGTTCTGCTTCAATATTCTATTCTACTTCCTGGTTTTCATTTAATCGTTATAATAATATAATACAGTATAAAATTATGTTTGGACATGTCAAGGTGGCTGATGTGAATATTTCTATATGCGGGTGACCTGTTTGAGTGCAAAATAAAAAAAAATTCACATCCGGATTATTTCTCAGAGAATTTTTCTTAAGAGAAACTCTTAAGAGAATTAATTATCTTAAAGCAAAAATTATTGTAACGAGCCAAAGCTATATTTGATAATTATGTGGATATAAATTATATATATTCAATATTCTCATATCTGCATGGCACTGAAAGCAGAATGAATATTCATCCTCTCCAATTATCCCGCTCATTTCGGCCCCGTTAGCTTGTCTAAGCTCATTGGTGTTTTGTCTCTACTTTTAGGGCTCACGTGGTGCACCTGGAGAGGACGGGTTTAATGGACCAAAGGTCAGCTGAAAAAATAAATGAAATTTTTTAGAAATATATATGCCACCTAAAGGGTTTTGTTTCTATATGTGCATTGCAATGTAATGTATATGTTTATATTATATATTAACATATATAGTCAGCCCTGATTGTATATTTGATAAATTGTTATAATAATTCGTTTCAGGGGCATAGTGGCGAAACTGGTCCAATAGGTCAGAAGGTAATATATTTGAGGGTAATTCAACGAGATGGGAAATGATGTATTTTACCTGTGCTGTTTATAGAATATATCCACGAGATATTGCATGCCGCACGCCAATCTTATTCTTCTGCGTAGCCTGGTAACGAGGCGCTCGTAGAAGGTACTTTTGAACTGATGGATGCGATTTTCTTGGTTGCGTTGGACGAAGGAGAACGTTTCCTTTCCTAGCCGTGTCATATCGAGATTTGCGATGTCAGATTCGGCCTCGTTGTGATGTGTCGTTATAGTAACTGGAGACCATGTGCTCGCTCTATTTTGACATTTTGTTGTTAATTAAAGAATATGAGCCATCACTGTTGTTAAATTACTCATTTTGCGGGTAACCTTTTAATCACATACGCTGTGACGTTATAATGTTAACATTTTTGTTTTTGATGTTAAACCGAAATTTTTTTGTTAAACCGAAATCAACACATTCCGAACGCACGTCACTAATGTGTGATTACTATAAGTTCTTAAGAATTTCTTTTACCATCCAAACATAATCAGTACAGCGTATCCAGCCTGACAATTATCCCGCTATGCTAATATTTTGGTGTTTATTACTCCGGTGTCAGCGACGGAGTTGAAAATTCGCCTCGGTTTTGTTTTGGTGTTGTTTTTTTTTGTATATATATTTTTTGTATTATATGTAATATAACTATATAAGGCCGAATTCCAAAGGCAAAGTGTAAGACAAAGCGAATGTATCATGCGGTTTATTCACATTTTTGAACAATTGAAATTCTATACTTTTTAAAGTTCGATGTGCTTCTGAATTTCGCGATCGAACATTTAGGTTCGCAAGGCATCTAAATGCGAATATGAACTGTATTGTTTATGTTCAGAAGCTCTATATTAAAGACTGGCACGTGCGCCGGAGTTAACGCCAGAACAGGCGTCTTGTTGATTGTAGAAACAATAAATTTCTAAAGACATGAATAATTTTAATAACATAACAAGTATCCTGCTTTACCTGACCTACATAAAGCACAACGAGATTAGAGTATATATACTAGTTTATTGTTTCTGCATGTAGTATTTCAGTGTACGTCCCTATACATGTAAACTGTTGCCCGGGGTATATTGCCCGATTTGCCGCCTCCCCTACACCCCCCCTCCCTTGGTTTGCGGTCCTGGTTCTGCACGAGTGTCCAGGAAACAAAGTTCAAGGCTAAAATGAGTAACCTTTGTATTAAAGGCATACTCAATATCGTGCATTTTTATAGGGTGTACGTGGTGAACCGGGAGAAACAGGAAATGATGGTGAAGATGTAAGCTAGAATACGAATCCTTACATTCGCATTAAGTATATAATTTCGTACCGCGAACACAGTGAACTATATTCGTATTGAACTACTAGACAATTGTCACTCTATGTTTATGGGGCGCGCGCGAGGTTAATGATCGCTCGACAAATAAAATGCACCGACAAAAAATGCAAGACAATTGCACTGATCCACAATATACAGCTTCAAATTGCATGGCTTCAGAGACGGTAAATCTTATGTAATTGTTATACAGGGTGTATCAAAAAAAATGTCCCAAATGTAAAATTTTCGTTTTTCAGGATATTTTGCAGAATTTGGAAAATTTTTCTGTTCCTAGAGATAGTTAAGATTTATCTGGTATACCTAGGCCAAGTTTGGTTTTTCATTAACAAAATTATGTTACCGGGGGGTGGTTCCTTTCCACTGATATTGAGAGGGCTTGCGCGCGAAAATGTGAAGCTGAAATTGAGATATTATTTAACTGTCTAAAAGTAGGAAAGCTTTTTAATAAACTGTCAAAATTTCAGGAAAAATAATGCATACTGGGAGCAACGCGCGACCCCTAAAGGTGACAAATATTTCACTGCGCGCAGTGGATTAAACGCATCGTTGATTTTAGCGTGACATGCAAGGTTGGGAAAATGAATAAATTAAAGCGAGAAACTGAACACAAAAACAAAGCGACTTATTCGTGATGTTAATCCTCAGCATGTCCACCATTTCATTCTAAGCAACTGCGGCTCGTCAGAGCATAGTAAACACTGAACAGCGAACCATTCGTCTGTCCATTCGCCTAGATTTGCCGGTGGTAGCGTAGGCGATTTGCAAGAAAGAATTTCAAACGAAATGGAGAATTTGAGGCAGGACAGACAAATGGTTCGCCGTTCAGTGTTTACCATGCTCAGACGAGCCGCAGTTTGCATAGAAAGAAATGGTGGAAATGTTGAGGATTAACATCACGAATAAAAATCTTGTTATCAAATCGCTTTGTTTTTGTGTTCAGTTTCTCGCTTTAATTTATTCATTTGCCCAGCCTTGCATGAAATCGGTCACGCTAAAATCAACGATGGATTTAATCCACTGCGCGCAATGAAATATTTGCCACTTTTAGGGGTCGCACGTTGCTCCCAGTTTGCATTATTTTTCCTGAAACTTTGTCAGTTTATTAAAAAGCTTTCCTACTTTTAGACAGCTAAGTAATATCTCAATTTCAGCTTCACATTTTCGCGCGCAAGCCCTCTCAAAATCAGTGGAAAGGAACCACCCCCCGGTAACATAATTTTGTAAATGAAAAACCAAACTTGGCCTAGGTATACCAGATAAGTCTTAACTATCTCTAGGAACACAAACATTTTCCAAATTCTGCAAAATATCCTGAAAAACGAAAATTTTACATTTGGGACATTTTTTTTATACACCCTGTATAACAGATAATTCCTATAGTGATTATTTCAGTCCGAATACAAACTAGTATTCAACTTTGAAGTGGCAAACCTTTCTTAATATGTTTACCGCGGTTTCACTTGATAAAGTTACTTAAAATCTAGGTGACTAATTTTTTTCATGTGGCCTTTTAACGTGACGGAAGATCCGATCTTTTAAGTTTTTAACAACAAGGACTTCCAAATAAGGACTTTAATTCTTGAAAACCTGGAGATAATTTTATTACAGCTTTCTCCTTCTTTAGAGTTTTACAAAAAGCTAACTTGCTCTTAAGTTGTAGATCTTGTGTGCATGAATTGTTTCACAACACCTGAAAAAAAAGTTCATTTCAATGCATTTTTAGGGCGAACCAGGACCTGATGGACTTACACGCGAAGAGGTTAGGCACTTGCATTTGTGTTCTTGTGCAGAAAGTAAACATTTAGTTTTTTTTATGTCTCTTCAAATTCACGAAAGAAGAAGATAAAACAAAAGATAGAACTTGAAAGACCTTTAACTCATGTCTGCCTTGGACGTAGCAGTAGAAGAACCTTACTGAAACAAAAAATGTAGCAGATTAGAGAATTTCATACAACATTTATTATAACATTTCATAATCATCCTACCGCGTATTTTAGACAGAGCTAATCACGAATGCGTTGATTCATTCGTTAAATGACTACCAAGTTAAAGAAAATGGTTACTACAATGACATCTATCACGTGACTTCACGCGATTTGACTGATGGCAGATCAGACACGGGTGGTTGGGGAAGTGAAACGGCAAAGACTGGGAACTATGTTCAAGCTACTTTTGTTCGTCCGGTGTTTGTCACATCTGTCACAGTGGCAGGAGGCTTTATACCATCTTGGCATCGTAACGTCAGACACGGATATGGAAATTTAAACCTGCAATACTCTACTGATGGAAGAAACTGGGCAACGGTAATAATACAGATTGCAATCTTACGAATATTTACAGGGAGTAGATTATAGCGTTAGTCTGGCGTTAGCTGGCGCTTTGCAACCAGTAAATGTTGTAGTATATGCATTATTAAGTTTTAAGAGACGTCTTCAGCGTATGCGTTTAAAGTGGGCAGTATTGATGCCAGCCTGTCGATTTGTCCCGCTATGCTAATATTTTGGCGTGCATTGACTGTGAGAACAATAAATTTCTGAAGACATGAAATATTATAATAACTCGAAAGTCGAAAATTACATAGCGAGGCAAAATCGTCACGCTGGGTACGCCACTGAAAATGTGGGCAAGTATATGAACGTATTTCAGAACCTTTCTACTTTGCTCTTTAGTGTGCCACTTTCCCTTCACCGGTGATGCAGAAATTGGTGACGGTGAATTTTGATCCTTTGATAGCTCAATATTGGCGCCTGATATCAACAGAAGATAAATGGGTTGGAACAACTGAATTTGCTTTGAAACCTTTGTTGAAGGCATGAACTTTGGGATTGCGTTTTAATCATTATTTTTTTCAATTATATTTTCATTTACAAAATTTAGTAATTTTTAGAAAATATCAAGATCCTAAAACAAAGAATACTCCAATTATATATCCTCCTATACGCCTAGCTTTCTCTCTTTTTTCCATTTAGAAGCATGCGTTAGCAATGGCACATATTTCTTGCTTGCAGTGGCGTAGCCAGCATCGATGATTGGGGGGGCCCATATTCATATATTCATGTTAACAGACTGTAAAGACAATTGATTTGAAAAGAAATTAATCCTACGTATCACGAATATATGAATATTGGCCCCCCAATTATCGTTCTGGCTACGCCACTGCTTGCTTGCAATAATAACAAATTACTAACGGCGAAAAAACTCGTATAATTCTAACTCACTTTAAAGAGAATAAATCAAAGACATACAAATACTAATCGACACGCGGTGGGCGACTAAATTTCGACCTGTCACTTTCCGTAGATTTGTTTTCAGCCTTTGCAAAATGTTCTCACAGGAATAAATCTTGCTCTTGTGGATTTTAGAGTCTTTTATTTATGCATCAATACATTGCACTGATTTCAGTGGACTGCGTAATTAGGTTTTCAAATATCGGAAGTCAACAAATGCATTGGAATAATAAATGGCAAGTTTTATTAATATGCAGATTTCATTAATGAAATGAATAATAGTTAATGGAACCTTGTCTTCCATTTGAAAAAAATTCACTTCATCCTTATATAGATGATATTCCATTTTAAGGTCTTGCTTAAATTGATTCCTTCAGGTATACTTCGTATAAATGCTATAAATATTACACATAATAGAAAGGGATCTGTACAATTTTACAAATGAATGACTACACCATTATTTCCCACCTATGCATTAAAATACCACATGCTTCTGTTCGTATCCAGGTAACGTGAAAATTGACAATTTGTTTGTTTGATACATGACGGAATTTTGATTAGTTGAGCTAATATAATGTCTATATTCTGTATGTAAAAACAAAATGAATTACGCGAGTCGGGTTTTAATTATTTTTCGATTAATTTTGGAAAGAAAATATTTACATTTTATACTCAATAAAAGTTCAATCTAAATTTAATTTCGCTGTTCGATTAATATTTTTCATTTACTTTATTTTAATTGCCAAAATTGGTTGAATTTCTATAAATATAATTTGAATTACAACGAGCACATTTACTAATCTTTTCATTGCATTCCACTTTTTCTCTCGTGTCTAAAAGTAAAACAACGCTAAATGATGTGGTTCAGTTCGTTTTTTCTTCTCGTATTGCTTTGTCACTTCGTGAAGTGCAATGGTACGTATGTCACTGAACAAAACTTTGCATTATTCTACTGTGAATCTTGTATAATATACTGTAAATAATGCATCTTTTGGTTGGCTAAGGTCCATCAGGGCAGTGACTTTGAACTATAGGGAAAAAGTCTTTGAAACAGACTTTGGTGAAATTCAGTATTGAAGGTCTCCTCCTATACTCCTATACTAAAGCAAACACTGAGCTTTGTTGCGTGATCAAGTTTAAAATTGGTAATGCTACCTATAACTTACTTTATGAAGGGTGAATGACTGGGACAAATTCTTCGTAGTCGACTAACCTTTGACATTTTACCTCTAAAATCCTAAATTGAAAACAATAATTGCAGCGATGTAGTGATAATGTAAACAGTGAATGAGTGAAATAGGGAGTACTGACCGATGATGGATTATGTTGACCGGAATAAAGTAAATACTAACAAAACAAGACGTTTCTAATTCTTTGAGGCCGGTAAATATATTTCAACGGTATTTGAGTCCGAGTTCCTGTATACGATAACTCCACACCAGTCCATCCCTTTACTGGGGAAAACTCGATCTGGGAGCCTCCGACCTAAAGAGAGTTAAACCATTGATCTGAGATCTGGGATAAAAGTAGTGAATTCGTGGGACGAATCATAACACAGCATTTGCTGCACTTCAATAACTGCATACCTTAGAAATTGATTAGATTTATGCATGATAACTTAGTTCCAATCCGAAAGACAGCAATGCTAATCCGATCGAAGAACCAGATTTTTCGCAATTTTTTTCATTGGAGTGCCAAGGATGCAATCTGGGTTAATATCAAAAGCAGCTCAAATCGGCTCTGTCTAAAATTGCACATGTTTTTGAATTACTTATTAGGAAATAAATAAAAAATGTAAATAATGGGAAATGCTGCATGCATGTACGTAGGTAATTTTTTATTAAATGAATGATTTATTTCTGTGTATCGAGCGGACATATTGCGTATGAAAGGATTTTGAATTATTATTGAGGTTTTTATACTTTTCTTAAACTTCAGGCTCGCAATGCACTTATGCAAACTGGTGGCGCAGCTTTGATTACTCTGGTCGTTCGTCTTGTCCAGGGAAATATTACATTGCTGGCCTTGAGAGATCGTTAAGCAGCGATCACACCAAAGATTATATTTACCACATTGAAGGAGCTCAATGTTGCAAAGGTACAGGTGGTTATAGTGATCGCGCATCTCAGTGTTTGAATGCAGACTGGGTAAGAAGTTTTGACAGGTGAGTTATACAACGCCCTCCTCCGCGGGCTTTTTGAAAATTATGGTTATAATATAACGTGATAATCTAATTTGAATAGTGAAACACAGGAACTTTTTATTATTATTATTATTATTATTTTTTAATTATAAATTTTATTAAAGTGTCAAACTTTATAGCTTGGGATAAAAATCCCATACTAATATGGGGACACGACAAGAGTACGTACAAAAATGCTACTTCTTATAAAAAATATTGCTAGACTACGAGTTACACAAAGTGCAATTCTTGCAACCTCCCTCTAGTAATAATGATAATTTTTTTTCCTTACCATACTTTTAAAGGAGGACAGCGATGTCAAGCCTCTCTCCCCTGAGGAAAGCATACCCCACAACTTGCTCCCATAGATATCCAAGGCCGTCGCCAGAGGCTTGATGAATAGATTGAAAATGATTGTTTTAATGCTTTAATGCAATAACACCAATGGTGATAAAACTACAAGAACATGGCGTCCATAAGAAAAGGCGCGCAAAAACATTCATACTTCATGTTATAACTAACGTTCTCTACTCATTCACGACAGGTTTTATCATGTATTTTAATCATCGAATGACAGGGGGATGCAACAAATGTTACAACCCTCAGGCTCGTTGTTGTAATTGATTAATTCGGTTTGAGAAATAAGCCACTTTTACTAATTTGGGTTTAGAGGCAGGCAATAACTACGTTTTAGGTTTAATGCAGCCTTTCTAGTTTTGAAATCCCCAAAATATCCTATTTGAATTTAGAAATAACCAATGGAACATGTGTCCCAGTGGATATTTCCTGAGTGGCCTGGAGCGGAGTGGAAGTATCAAAGACGGTAGAAATTTCCTCCACAACATTGAGTATGGATACTGTTGTAGACCATATGATGCTCCTTCTGGATATAAACATTGTTACAAGGCAAATGTTTGGGATCATTTTAATCATAATGATCACGGGATGATTTCGTGTGGTCGCCCTGGTTACTACATTACTGGTATATATCGATCAGTGTGTGATTTGGTCTATTGCATCGAAGAGTTTATGTGCTGCTCCATGTCCATGATGTCATAATCATGTAAATAGGCTTTTAAATTCACTATCATTAAAATTATTAAAGCTTTTGCATGGGTCACATGCTGTACCTTCTCCGCCTAACTGAACTTGTTTCAGAGTTTACGTCACTATTTTGCTGTCTGTGGTCTTTTCGATTACTGTTCTAAGCAATGATATAGTTCGCTGTGGAGACTTTTAAAGTGTCTTTGTTCATTATCATTAACCACTGGCGATGATTTTTTCCTAAGAAAATTTCAAAAAGTATAGCTACTCATGCGATTTCACTTATCTTCAAACATCACACTTTATAGACAATGCTCTATGATTGAATGTAACTAACTTGACTTAATTAGATCTGACGTGAGAAATGTGAAAATTGGGCAAGCAAATAGAGCCCCGTTTATACTACACTCGATTTAATGGCAATGCATGGCTAAAATGGGTACCCGTACATGTGTACACGCGCGAAATCTCTGACCGGGTAAGAGATTTCGCACAGGTCAGAGATTTCGCTTGACACCGGATGATAGTGGTTTACTTTTTAACCATGTTTGGGGCAAGACTCTGCCGTCTCTGCGGGATTGCTCGCACAATCTCTTTGGTATGCGGCGCCACCCAAATCCTACCTTGTGTCCTATACGGGGAAATGAAGTGTACGTCTCCATTGCCAGTGAACTTTCCGTTGATCTTTGTGCAGGATATTTATTTCGTCCCACTAACCGTCAGGGTCATATTCTCAACCAAACTCTATCTAGCTCCGCCGCAGCCGCGCGTCTTACGTTATATCTCCGGCAGGCTAACATTGACTCAGGAGAAACCCTTCACAGTTTTAGGTCTGGCTGCGCCCTTACACTAACCTTTGCGGGATCCCGTCTTGCAGATGTTATGTCCCATGTTGGCTGGTCCTCTCCGGCGACTGCACGCTACTACTTACAGCTCGCCAATATTCTAAAGGCGGGTGCACCGGCGGATCTCCTTTCGCAGAACAGGTCGTCCGACAACCAAGCTGCTGACATTAATTTTACAGGGACTTCAATCATTTGAAGAACTTTATCATGGCATTTCCTTCACCAGATCTTTTGAAGAGAAAATCCCCCGTTACCTAAGTTTTTGCCTTTTGTGCTGGCTTTGGGTGTTTTGGCGCTTGAGTTTTGGGGTAATTTTCTTTAAGTTTTGGAGATCTCCCTCATTACTCAAAGGAGCTAGTACGGGTAAGACCGGTGTAAATAGAATACTATTTACAGCGGTCTTACCCATTACGACTATATAAGCCACACCCACTTTAGGTCAATTGTCAGATAGCTCAAGCAGGCTTTTAGAACAGCCAGTCTCAAGATTCAATAGATAATGCTTTGCTTTGTATATGCCCGGAATTACCTGTACTCCGCATTCTTTGGCCGCTTCTTGTTCCCCACCCTTCCCACCTCGGGAATTCTCTTCCACTGATACATCACGAAAGAAGTGGCCGCCAGACTCCATAAATGAAAGGAGTACGGGTAAGACCGGTGTAAATAGAATAGTATGTATTGATTGCTACTATCGAGAATGTCGCCTCCGAAACAGTAGTTCTCGACAAGTCACGGTTGATAATATTTAATCATAAAAGAAATTATACAAAATCACAGTTCTCAACGTTGTCTCACTCACGATCACTCTCGCTCTACCTCGTTCTCGTTACACCCTATCTAATAAATGATTGCAATTATATCTCTAATTACTTACGTCATGCACGATCCTTGAATAACATGGCCTTAAATGGTAATAATTGTAACTTTGCTTATAATAATGTACTTATCTATCCTGTCTGTCTCCGACACACTCCCCCATATAGCTCGAGCTAGAGTTATATGTTCTGAAGAGACTGACATCGTCGTGGGTTCATCGTCCTTTCGACTACCTGTTAACAAAACTAAATTTAATGAGATTAAGATAAGCGTGTCTATTCATTGTCTGAACTCGTGTCCCTGTTCCTTTGTGCTTGCTGCTCGTTTCGCAGGGTTGCTGCCGCTGCAGCATCTCTCTTGGGCCGTTGAGTAAAGGCGGGTGCTTCGGGGTTGGGTATCCACTTTTTCTCTTCCACCGACAATTCTAACGGGTAAAGGTGCTGAATGGCTCTTTCGAGTTTGCTGATAGCTGTCCGAACTTTTGCTCCCCGTACAATTCCATCTCGTCCGCTGATTAACTCCTCAACGATTCCCATCTTCCAATGATTCCGGTTCTTCGCTTCGTCCTGAATAATTACCGCGTCTCCGACTTCCGGATGTAGGCTTTTGTTAGCCTTGCCTTGGCGATGCCGTTTACGTAAACCACGTACATATTCCCGTGTCCAGCGCTGCCACATCGACTCCTTGCATCTTCGGAGCTGTTTGGCTCGTTTGCGAAGGTCTATACTCTCAAGGTGGTGGGGTTGAACCTCGGGTACAACACTTGGGTTAATTTGTAGCAGCTTGTTTGGAGTAAGTACCGGGTGTTCCACATCGTCTTCTAAATAACCAAGTGGTCTATTATTCATCGCTACTTCGATGTCCAAGATAACGTCGCACAATTCGTCCCAGATCAAATTTCCGTTTCCAATGCTTTTGTAGAAACTCCGCTTAAAAATACCGATCAAACGTTCAAATTGTCCTCCCCACCATGGGGCCCGACTCAAATTGAACCTCCAACTGATTTCTTTATCTGCGAGAAACGCATGAAATCTTTCGTCCTTCCGAGCTTGTTTAAGCCATTTCTCCGCTGCTTTGAAAGTTGTCGCATTGTCCGAGTAGATGACTTGGGGTCGCCCCCTTCTCGCGATTAGTCGCTTCAAACTCGGGATGAACTCGACTACCTCAAGAGACTTCAGTAATTCGAGATGGACGGCTCTCGTTAGACTACACGCGTAGAGCACTAAATACGATTTCTTTTCGGCTTTAGCCTTGGTCTTGTAACGGATGGGACCGGCGAAGTCCACTCCCAGCACTTGAAAGGGGGTTGTGCCTTGAGTCCGCGTCGGTGGTAATCGGCCCGGGGGTGGTCTTTGGTAGGCTCGCGACCTGAACCTTACACAACCATGACACTTACTTCGTACTTGTTTCACCAATCGCCGTAATTTCGGGACCCAATACCTCTCGCGTATTTCAGCCATCGTTGCCAATACTCCGCCATGGAGTGTGGCAATATGAGCTCGCTCCACCAGCTTCCTCGTGAATACCGCTTTCGTAGGCAAGTATATCGGATACTCGCCTTCAATCCTCCCTCGACACTCTAGGATCCCACTTTGATCGGGTTGAAGATTCAGCTCAACCATTGCTCTTTCAGTCTCGGGACCATTTATCAGTGCCTTCTCTTGTACACGCTTTATCCACCACTGCGTACGTTTTTCGATTTCTTCCCTATTTAGCGGCCCGAACTCTCGACTTCCCGATTCCACCCGACAGTTTTGTGTGAATCTGTGTACCCATGCACAAATTCTCAGTGTTTTCCGCAAGGGAAACTTTTCCATCAACCCGTCAAAAGCGTCGTTCTCTGCGTTGGAACATATGATGTTGAGTGCATTGATGGTTGGCGTGGTCTTGACTTCTTCGTTAGCTTCCGGACTGGCGTGAAGGATGACTTTCGGGGGCCATTTCGACTTGTCACTCAACCATTCAGGGCCGTTCTGCCACAGCTCGTTACCTACTACGTTCCCTCCTCGACTCCCCAGATCCGCCGGGTTCTGAAGTGTCGGTACATGATGCCATTCGAGACGTTCATGCTCACGAATCTTTTTCACGCGGTTGGATACAAACTGGCGATATTCCCCCTGGCCATTGATCCAATAGAGAGCCACTGTGGAGTCTAACCAGCAATGTATCTCGGTCACTGTCTCTCTCCCAAGCGCTGTTTCCACACTACTAACCAAGTTTCCAGCCATATGTCCCGCTACGAGTTCTAAGCGAGGGATGGTGAGACTTCTCTTCGCAATTCTAGATTTCGAGCACACGAGCCCTTGCGTTGTTCCTCCTTCCTGTTCGACAACTGCGTATACGGCAGCTGCTACTCCTTGCTTACTCGCATCACCAAAGGCGTGAAGGTTCACCGACAAGATGGGCTGGTGATAAGGGGTTAAGGTCCTCGGGATCTCGTAAACTTCTGGGAATCGCAAATACCAGTCGTTCCACCGTCTCTGCAAGGGTTGAGGGAATTCTCCATCCCAAGCCAGGTTCGATTCACACATTTCTCGGTAAAGGAGCTTTCCGGGTAGGGTTGTAGGTGAGACTAGGCCGAGAGGGTCGTACACCTTTGCTAGCTGGGACAGAGCACCTCTCTTGGTTGTGGCTGGATGTTCCTTGCTGGTTACCACGCTGAGTAGATCTTGTTTCTTATTCCACGGCAGACCGAGCAACTTCGTCCCGAACATTCCAGCTCCTAAACGTTGTTTGGCAAACGTCGTTTCTTCCGCGCGGACGTCGTGTTTCGCGATTTGTTGTTGTTTCTCTTCGAGCTCCGGCGAGTTGGAATGCCACTTATGGAGTGTGAACCTTGCATCGTCAAACACTTCAATTGCTTTAATCCTTTTCTCTCTCGCTTCTTCGGTATCAACACCTCCAGTAATCAGGTCATCTACATAGAGTCCCTTCCGTATTTCGCTAACCAGGTTTGGGTACCTTGTTTCCCACGATTTCAGATGTTCGTTGAGCACGCCACCGAGTAGAAAGGGGGAACACGTAAGTCCGAATAATGCTCTCGTAAATCTATACACGACAACTGCTTCGGTTCCCGGAGCTCTCCAGTGAAATCTCAACGCGTCTCGTTCCGACTGTTTCACTCGGACTTGAAGGAATGCCTTTTCTAGGTCGCCGGTCAGGAGTATAGGGTAAAATCGCGCTCGAACGAGAATGCTCCATAGAAGGTTTTGTAACGGAGGGCCCGGGTTCAAACAGTCATTCAGAGAAGGCTGAGTATTTGATTCACTTGCAGAAGCGTCGTATACAATGCGCAGCTTTGTAGTTTCCGCCGATTGTTTTGTAATTCCCTTGTGCGGGATGTAGAATTCCTTCCCAGTCACTTCCAATGGCGCTGGTTCGATTATCCCCTGTTCGAGTTGATCTTGGATTATATCGTTGTATTGCTTATAGTTTCCGTTCCGTTCGAGTCGTTTCACCAGACTTTTGAGTCTTCGCTGACTCCCCGTCTCGTTGGATGGTAGGTTTGGATGACTGGGTTTCCATGGTAGATTTGTCTCGTACCAGCCTTCTGGATTTCGCACAAGGTTTTCCTTAAAATCTTCGTAAACTGTATCTTGATCGTTCTCTGAGGTATCCTCAAGTCCCAGGACATCCATTCGACAAAGCCGTTCAAAGTCTGCCTGTGATGTTTGCGTCATCAGCATCGTGTTCTTGTCAATCTCGATCCCAGGACTCATCACAAACCAGCCGAGCTTGGTTTTCTCTGCGACAGGTTCTCCGTCTTTTCCAATGAGGGGTTTCGTACAGGTTTTGATTCGAGCGTATTCTCCACTCCCGAGTATGAGATGTATTGGGAGATGTCTCTTCGTATCGTTGTCGTCAATCTTGGCTAATTCTAGGTGTCTATAACGTTGTATTAACTTATCGTAGTTCGGGTTACTGATTGATAAGAGTTCGCCTTTATCGACTTTGGTCAATTGGACGTCCATTTCGTAACTCCCGTCGACCGAGCTCACTTTTGCGTCATAGAGTTCCATTCTCGCGGTTTGGGTGGTCATTAGCATATCTATGCGTTGACGTCTTATTTCGCGTGGTTTTATATTTAGGGCGTTAATCAATTTAGCGGACGCGTAGCAGCTCCCTGCACCGGAATCAATCAGCGCTCGACACATTACACTGTTTACGTTTACTGTCACCACAGGAAAAATGCCCTCTCCACTTTGTCCGTCTGTCATCAACTTCGCATTCTTATCATTAGGATTGTCTTCATGCCTATCATTCTTTTGGTCACATATTGAAGTGTGATGACGCCTTTGACAGTGGCTGCAGGCAGTTTTGCTGGTACATTCCGAAGCACGGTGAGTTTTCATTGCACAGTTAAAACATAGGCCCTTTTTCGCTAATATACGCTTCCGCTCAGTTACATCTTTAATTTTTTCGCACTGGACTGCCTTGTGGCCTAGGTCCCCGCAATAGACGCAACCTCGGGGTCTGAATTCCTCGCTGCGAGCGTTATAGAGTTTTTTCCTGGCGTGCTCTTCGCGTTCCTTATCGATATTGGCGGCGGGGTTTCGTTTAACCCATTGCTTCAAGGCTTCGGTTAGATTTGCGAAAGTCCAGGACTCCCAGGCTGGGTCAGTGCGTACGAGGTCCCCCCGTATACCATATAACTTATCTAGCGTCATAGACACATTCCCGTTGATTTCGCTGAGCTTGCCCATTGTCTCTAGAGCTTGAACGCAATGAGCAAGCTTTTCATAAAATTCCGCAATTTTCCGAGGGTTGGCACCCGAGATCTGAGGCAGGTCTAAAATCTCTTTAATATAACACTTGACTATTTCAGATTCCTTGCCATATTTATCAACTAAGATGGATTTTGCTCGGTTATAGCCCTCGGGGCCGAAAGGAAGGGCCTCAACACAACGCTTTACTTTTGGTTCGAGCAGTTCTAACAGATAGGTAAACTTCGTAATCGGTGCGACGGCGCTTTTGTCTATCGCTTCAGTGAATTGTCCCCAGAACTTGGGCCAATTCATGTACGACCCATCGAATTTCGTCATAACAAGTTTTGGCAATTTAGCGTTTGGTTTTGCGGCGGATTTTTCGCATTCCTCAGATTCGGTTTGTTTCCTAGCCTGCATTTCCAACTTTTTCTCATGCAACCTTAGTTCGTTTTTAAGTTGCTCCTCTTGCGCTACAAACTTCTCTGCGCGTTTCGCCTCGGTTAACCATGTCTCAAGTTGTGCAGTAGCCTCGTCAGCTAGTTCAAATTTGTCGTCAATCTCGCTATTCCACTCGTCTATTTTCGTTAGGTCCTCTTTATTGGCGATTTTTTCTGCTTCGACTGCGCGTTTGCAATTGTTCGTCTCCTTCGCAATAGTTTGTAACGCATCAAGGTGCCGCCTAATTGCTACTCGCTTACCTGAGTCGAGGATGGCTTGCGTTCTTCCCACGGCTATCTTCAACTGCGTTAGCTTCGTCTCTAATTTCTCCTCGTTCGACATTTCGTTTAGTTACTGGCGGTACAGTATCCCGTCGGAGAGGTGCCACGTATCGAGAATGTCGCCTCCGAAACAGTAGTTCTCGACAAGTCACGGTTGATAATATTTAATCATAAAAGAAATTATACAAAATCACAGTTCTCAACGTTGTCTCACTCACGATCACTCTCGCTCTACCTCGTTCTCGTTACACCCTATCTAATAAATGATTGCAATTATATCTCTAATTACTTACGTCATGCACGATCCTTGAATAACATGGCCTTAAATGGTAATAATTGTAACTTTGCTTATAATAATGTACTTATCTATCCTGTCTGTCTCCGACACTACAAAGTAAAAAATTCTCAATGGCCTATGCAGTATGCATATTTATTATATGGCACGCGGTCTTGTGACTAAAATGGCCGTGCGTTGATTGGTTCTTTGCCGGTCTGAAATCCTCCAGTATTAGACCGTTGCGGTGCCGTAGTAACGGTCCAGCTCTCATATTTTTGAACAAAAACAAGTTTGCACTTTTATTTTTGACACGAAAAATATCGACGGAGAATGGACGAAGAAGACCATTATATTTGGTACATGTGAATATTATATTTATTCATCTTTGATTTTTGTTTACATTACTGTATCATTCTTATTTAACGAATAAAAAACAAAGTTTTGGAAGCTAATTCAGTGCTTGCTTGGCGACTGGCTGGCGAAAGAGCCGGCAAGAATGCTGCCGAGCGCATTGTATAAAGAAATAAACTAAATACTGTATCCCTCGCTGTATGCCATATAATAAATCCCTTATTAACCGAATACATTCGGTCCGTACTGGAAAAATATCAGACCTCGGTCTTTTTTGTCAAGACCTCGGTCTGATATTTTTCTATTACGGACCTCAAATTCGGTTAAAAAGTGGTATGTATGTCCATATAAGGAACGAAATATGACACGTGGTCGGCGCTTGTATGCAAATATTTTGAGCGCGTCGTTTGAAAACTGTTTTGAATCGTATATTCATCGAGATGTTCATGCTGATGTGTTGAAGACGTTTTGTCGGTTTTGAGCGTATTTACTCAACTATTTTGGTACTTCTAAATATCATGAACAACAACGGGCTCCCATAAGGAAATTTCAAGGCAATTGGTTGTGGTATTATCTCAGAAATATCTTGGTAAGTGTTTGAATTTGATCAAATACAGACATACAGTATCCATGTTCGCTCAAAGTCAAACGGCCAAATCGCTAAACAAACAAATGTGTGCTATTTTTTTATTCTAGAGAAGCCAAATGACGTATTCTACTTTACTGCGATCTCTTCAGCAAGCTGTGGTCAAAGAGAATATCATTAATTGCAATGATAGGTATCTATTCATATTTACTTTACCGTAATTTTATGATGCGTCTTCGCTTGTCTCTTATATTATTGACATAATTTAGCGATATTTTATCCTATATCAACGATTGTCCGTGCTCTATTTTTGTATATTAACGATAATCCTTGCTCTATTTTGATAAATTTGATGTTAGAGGGTAAGTTATTTGTTTAAAATCAATGCCTGTGTATGTCTTTTGATATTAAATTTAATCTCCTACAGGTTACCTGAGAGTCCCATTTTAGCCTGTCATTTTTCAAATTCACATTTATATTTTAGTCAAATAACAAATCATGTTTCCATAATTTAGTAAAATCATTTTCTTTTGCAAGTAAGGTTTGCAACTGAACACATTCTATTATTTTGTTGCAGGTAAAGGCAGAATTTGGAAGTGAAATGTCAAATGTGCAAGAACTATTAGTCCATGGTATGGTTGGCAAATTTTAATGTATCAAGAGTTGTCAAGAATGCCAAATATTGTGCCAAGAAGTTTGTATTGCTTCTTTCGAACCAGATAGAAACAACAAACAAGATTGGCCTATTTGGCCGCACAGAGAATCAGGTAAATGATCATGCAATTAATATACTATAATTTTCCCAAGGAAAAATTACAATGTCACCTGTAGTTTATTGCCCCACAATCTACTATTTTGACTGTCTTTATCCAATGCTTAGTGTACCGATTATAGTTTTGGTAACCTAACTAGATCTTCTGCTATAATTGATAAACAATTTGTTTTTCAAAGAAGACATTCAGATCAGCACAGCTAGTGGTTGCTTTAGGTCTAACTGAAAGAGAATCTCTCCCTCATGTTAGGAAACCTTGTGGGCTGATTTGACTTTTTTAATGATTATTGATCAATTTATCTTAGGTTGACGACTCCATATACAGATGATGAAATACAAATGATAAAAAAATGGCCATGGAAGAACATGCTGGGAAGTGAGTTTCTGCCAATAAATTTATAAAGAACTTGACATTGATTGTCGAAAATTGTAAATATTTGTTTGGCTGTTTTTGTAAATAGTCCTGCAGGAGTAATTGTAAATAAGCAACTGTGATCAAGTTTAATATATTGATTTTTTGTTTCCTGGTAAATATGTGTCATTAATTTTGATTTAGATATGATTACTGATGTACTGCACATTAAATTGCAGTAGGTAAAAAGGTGCTGCTTTGACACCAAATGTAGTGCTATTTAAACACCCAAAGGTGTTATTCTGACACCAGAATGGGCGTTAATTTAGCACCAGGGATTGGAGTTAATTTAGCACCCAGGTCATGGTGTTAAAATAGAACCTCGACAGCACCTTTTTGGTGCTAAATTGACACATTCAAATTAGCAGTGTTGTTATTATAACTTTATTTTAAAATTTAGCGGAATCCAGCAGAATTGGTGAGAGTTATCTAAGTTAATTTAAATGTACAACGCTTCGACACATATTGTCTCATTTATCATTTTTAAGAGTCTCGCCATAGCCATAGGTGTTTTTAGAAGATTTCTTTCTTCTAACCTTACTGGTAAAAAGTTTTCTCACGGAAACATATATACGAACTTCTAATCCCCGGAAATAGAGCCTAGTAAAACATCATCGTTCTACTTTAAGTGGCCAATTGATTAAAGCAATTACGTTACGTAACAATCTCATTATGTCAAAGCTTTAATTAGTATCAGACGCTTATTTTTCTTACCGCGAATTTTAGTGAGAGAAATGAATTTTTCCGAATATCAAGATATTCGGTTTTAAATATATAATGAACCACTTGGCTTTCTTCGCCTCCAACATATGGACGCTCGTCACTGGTGAGTTTATTAATGAGTTTAATATCATATAGTCTTGGGTTCATGGGACAGGGTGTCATCGAAACCTCATTCTTGAATCAGCGCGATTTCGCCCGCGGTAAAGCGGACTTGGAACCAAACGAATACGATCGCGAAAATCTTTCAAATAAAAACAAAACAAAAACAAAAACAGCGGAACCAATTAACCAAATAATTTTCATATGGTTATGAAATCACCCCGTCCCTTTCGGAAACAATCAAAGGGTTTATAGTTGTGAAATCTATTTCAGTATTCGGCAACATAGAGCTTCATTTTAAAATTTTAATGATTAAATATGCAGGGTTTTTTGCGTAGTCTGTATTTTATTTTAGGTTTCACAATCCAAAAGACATTGGATTGTCTTTTGGATTGTTTATGACGACAGTAATTAAATAGAAACATTCGCGTTGCTTAGTTACTGCATTAGCAAATCAAATTAATTAGAATAAAGTTGATCAAGCAATTAAGTATAAAGAACAAAATGATGGGCCAATCAAATGCTTGGAACAATTTAGACAACCAATCACACCGCAATGTGTTTGTTTGTCACGTCACTTGTAACTGACGCTGACGCACCCAAAGTTAGGTTTGATTTAGCCAATCAGATTGCATGGAACGAAATATGCCAGCCAATAGGATAAGTCGGATTGCATGAAATAAAATAAATTAGCCAATCAAATTACCATAGAACAAATATACAAGACTTCTATGTTCGTAATGGTGAAATTTCGCAAGGTAGGTGAAGTTTTTGAAAATTGTCGCGCGAATTCACCGAAGTTTGTTTTTTTTGGAAAGCAGAAGCTGGACAGCGTGATGCCCTTGGAACTTTTTAAAGAAATAAATGTTTTCTGAACATTTGTGTGTTTCTTGTTTGCTTTGGGGCGAGAAAGGGAGCGGTGGAGAACAGTTTTTACGTTATCGAGACTCATTGACAATATGGTAAAAACGATTGATACTATGGCGTATTTCTTCTGTTTCAATGGCGACAACCATTTTTTTGGTCGTATCTGTTGAACGTTGGTACTTTACTGGCTTCCTGGCTTAGGGTTTATGATAATATATATTCAACAGTGAATGCATGTGGTCAGATTACACTGGTATTTACAATAGTGATGAAAAGAAAAGCTTCATCTTGCTTGCAAAAGGTTCACTGAGAGCGGTCGTTCCATATCAATGACGTATTTTTGCCAGTGATTTTTGCTTACCTGATAACATTTATTGTCGTTTTCAAAATTCCAGATGCACGTGAATGTGTGCAACACTGAGCTATATATTATTATATAGATCAGTGGTGTGCAATCAAAGCAATCTAGTTCCCAGAGCCCTGAAGTGAGCATGAGCATGAATTGAACATGAGTAATTGAGCTGCGTCATCAAACATCAAAGTCAACGAATATTCTATATTCTCATTGTTCTAAACTTCTAATCATCCCCGAGCCGGTGCAGAGCACCGTGCGAGGGTACTAATTCCGCTCGGAGATTAGGAATTACACCAAGACCCGAGAGAAGCACTGAGCTATATTAAATTACTCAATCAAACTATTTTTTAAAAAAATGTTTCGAAAACACAATATGAAAATAATGTGGAATCAAATAACAGACAAAACACTGGGAAGAGTTTAAAATATTATCAGAACTGGAAGAATTAGCGGCGAAAAGGAACAACTCGTTTATAATCCTTGAAATGGTAGGAGTCGATTTTGTTTATTTCGAGGTTTATTTCGTATTTGCTGTACGAATACATTTTATGACCTTGGTACAGTATGTCGTTTTGCTCGGTTTTGCAAAGACGTGACCGACTATTTAAGGCTTTATATCATCGTTTTAACTTCAAAAAGAGTTCTTAAAAGTGTAATTCGGAGTTTTAATATAACAAATATCACTTTAAAGGTTTATAGAGTCGACTGCAATAACTGCATGAATTTAATAATCGAAAAACAACTCTCGACGTTCAATGCTTGGTTATTTATATTATTTGTGCTGTTTTGATGTTTTGAAGGTTTAGCTATAATGAAATATTAACTCTCACTTAAACTGTGAAAGTCTATAACTTAATGCAACGG